TGTTTTTATCATAATCGATCATAGTGAATACATTTCTTTGCATCATCTCTAAAGTTATATCTTTTCGTAGGTTAGATTAACATGAAAGTTATTTTTAAAATTTTATAACATTTATATCGCTACGGGTTCTTTGACTGACAAAATGTCTTGTAGTTTTACATTTTTATGTAAGGACAAGGAAGTGAAGCTGTTGAAATGATGAAGTTATAAATAAATATTTTTTGAAGTACGTAATTAAGATGAATACTAATATAATCGATATGTATATTTAGTAGTTCGATTTAATTAATTCTTTTTCATTTTTTAGATAAATTTGTGGACATGGATGATTGGAGTGTAATACAACAAATATATATATGTAAGTACTACCTAGTTACTGTTTAAAATTAACTCCTTGTTTAATCTTTCAATTTGCGTATCTAATTTTTCGAATAATCTTTTAATCTTTTTGCTAATTTTTTAAATAAATTTTTAGAATGAACATCAAATCGCACGAACGTGAAATAATTAGGATCCCAAAAATGTCGGATCGGGACTTCGGGACAGGTCGATATTTTTTCTTAGGATAGGGACGGAATCCCGAAAACTTTCAGAGTTGACATGTCAGTATACGTTTTGTTGAATATCGGCAGTTCTCAAATTCTTTGGGAATTCCGGACATTTTCAATTCTACACACCTTTAGAAGTAATGTTTTATTCAACTAACTATCGTACGAATGTAACAATACGCTTTAGTATAATATTAACCACCATTATTTTTGTCTTTTCAGCTTTACTTTTCACCAACTATTGTCAAGAAATCGCAGCAATTCGTGAGACAGTTGGCAACAAAGGAAATAAATTCAGAGTTACTCATATGTATAGCAGTATGTACGTTTGAGTAAAACGTGTTACGCGACTACGTTTTCCGCGTGTACACGCATCCCATTAGCATTCTGTCGATTTGCAAGATACATAGAAAGACCAGAGGACTTAATTTCACCAGCAGCATAAGAAGACTCAGCGGTAATTGCACAGTTAATTTGCGTAGCCGCGAATCGTGGTAAAAAACTGCGTGAAATTGCAGAAATGTCAACGAGCCAGCGTTGTTTTGTTTGCCTTCTTCCACACGCTTTCTGACACACGATATCAGTGCATGCCGACAATATGCTCGCGCCAGATGCGCAATTACATCACGATAATCTTTGTGTACCGACAGTAACATGGAAAACGTGAGCAGACGAGAATCATCACTTCTTTCGCTTTCATCAGTCTGTTCGTTGAGCTTCTCTATCTTGTCGGCTTTAGCATGATGGAAAAATCAAATGACAGAACATTGATTGTTTGGAATTCTTGGAGTTTTCTTGTCACGAATTTTATCTCTGTGCTTCATTTACGTATGATCAGCCGGCATAGAAATACAGATAATTCTTATGAACATTAGTTATTTAAGAACACGATTGCTAAATTGTTAAAATTGTTTTTTTTTTTTAAGGTAACTTCGCGCAGTCAGTAACTTCAAGTAGGATATCTGTTTGATGTTGCAGATTTTTTAATCGATTGTTTGAGTACGACAGACGGTAACATACACAAGAAAGAAAACAGCGAGGAATTTTCCGTAATCGCGTAAAAGGAAATGCATCTATCGACTTGTACGTTACCATACTTAATAATGCGCGTTTATCCTTTCTCTTCAATATGATGCAATAGCCGATATTTCTTTTCCGATGACGCAACTCTCGTAAAATTCTTTAAACGATTATAAATTCTTATGGGAAGCTGTGAAATGGTGAATATTTTTAACGAACGTATAAATTTTGCAAAAGTGTACGACAAAATATTCGGAAATCCTCAATATATCTATATATATAAGCTATTTAGAGAGCTGTGGAGGGAATTAGTTAATTTAAAATACTGAAATGTCAACCAGCGAAGGATAAATAATTTATTTTAACAAGATACATCATTCATGAGTATAAATAATATTAATTAAATATTAATAGTATTACAGATAATATTGGTACAGAAATTTAGATAAAAACACTACTTTTTACGGAGGGTACTCTATTCATATATATCTAGCGATTTCACATGATTATTTATGAAATAAGATATTAAACCAATTAAAAAATAAAGTAATAAAATTTGCAAAATTTTAGGAGGATTACCATCATACCACAATTCTACTTTATACTTATTACTATTGTATTTGAGGAAACTATGTAAACTTTATGAATGTAATGTTTCAGATACAATCTCACAGAAAGTTAAGATAATCGTCAGCGAAAAGTAAATCTTGAATTTCATCAGGTACTATATTTCTCTTCTATTACTCTTCTTCTTCACCTTCTTCTTTTAATCGCGCAACATTACAGCAAAGGTCGTACAGCCGCATCTACATGAGAGGTAACGAGGAGCCATTCTGTCGCAATAACGAGACAACGCGAGTCACGATCGGTCAAGAGGGTTTCGAACTGAAATGCCGCTCTCGGGCGAAATCGCATTTCCGCAACAGCCATTTCTTCTGACCACGGTGCACTTGTACCCATCAATGAGGATAGTCGGTCATGAGATACTCGTTCAGCTGAAAATATAGAAAATATATAGAATGAAACAGATGACTACGGGAACGTGAGATGAAGACCAAATAAAAGTTGGAAGGGTATTTTATTAACAATTTCATTTAATTCCTGATTATTCTGCCTTGACCGAGATACAGCTTTCGCTGTGTGTTTATTGTCCTTGTGTCGGTAGCAAAGAATTGCTAATTTGTACTTGAACTAGAGAAGGTGTATGTTAGAAAATTATATGTATTCAATGATATTTTAAATTTAATTTATGTTGCAGAAAGATAATATATAGATCATAGTAAGAACTAGACAATAAAAGCAACATTTGGGTAATATAGTATATTTAAAGTCTAGGAACAGGAACATGAATCACCTTAATGTCTTATGGGTTGGGATAAACTCTTTCAGTATGATAGTCACAATCTTAATGTCTAATTCAGTAGTACCTAATCGTAGAAGAGTTTTTATACTTATTTTTATCATTACAGAAATTTTAGTGTTTCATAAATTTTGTCTATAATCAAAAGTGGTCCATGACTTTAACAACCTTAAGAAACACTGGTCTAAATTCTAGAGACCATGAAAACTGACAAGGAGCATGTAGTATCACTGAGAAGATCTTTGGAAACCCTGGGGTCTGTGGAGGTTCAAGGAGATGCTACGACCCTGGAATTATGTTTAACTAATTTCTATAATTATGTTAACGAGGTGCAAAACCTTTATGGTTTTGTTTAATGTGGTTCTTCTATCGTTATGTAAACTGTTTTGTATTCAGAAATCATCTACTACAAATTTTATGACGGTGTTTCTTGTCAAATATTCTTATTAGTTTAAATTAGTAAATATTGGTGTCATATAGCTAATATTCTTACATCGTGACTTTATTAGTTCTTCTATCTATTCTACTTCGAATTTGTTATAATCCTTAGATTTGAAATTATCATTAGTAGTACTTCGTAGCTTTTCCTTATGTCTATTCAATATTTGGGTATTCGCTTGTAGTATTTATTGAGGTATTAACAGTTTTAACAATCGTTAATATTTATTTTCTTTTAATTATTTGATATCCTCTTCAAGGGTGCTTCTATGTAAAGTCTTTAAAATTAATCGAGGAGCCTGCGGTCATTCAATAAAAGCCGTATTGGTTGATTACAGAAAATATCTAGTTTCTGACGAGGCGATTGTACAAGTAAGTTGTAAGCAAGAGGAGGAGAAATAGGAGGAGCGATTAATACTTGTAGTTGATCAAAACACCTATCAGCAGTGCTCAACGTTGATATTTCAATGTGACCGGGACCAATTGGTGTTTTTCCCAGTACTATCGACGTATCAATGCTTCAGGTTTGAATATGATGTATTCGTTGGTCTTCGAATAGACAGATTCACCAATGAGGAAAATTATTTCAATGACAGTGATAAAAGCTGATACAATAGTGACTCTGTGCGAACATGAATTTAACGAAATAACACATTGGTAGGAATGATATCTTGTTTAGCTTCTATCTGACGGAGTTCGATAGTTATAACATGTTTATCTTCTGCTGTTTTTAATTAGCTTAACACTATCCTGTTTAATTTGAATTTCCGGTTTTTATTTTAATTCGCTGGAATATCCTCAGTATCGAATAGCTACTATTGATGTAAAATTAATTGTATTTACAATTCTTCATCTATTTTCTCTTCTCTATCTACGTCTCAATACATCTAACTTCAAAATAAAAATTCTGTTAAATTATAACATCCATTAAAATTTAGATTGTTTACTCTTCTATTATTATACCCGATTCTTCCCTTAATACTCTCCATATGTTATTTCTTGAAACGTGCCAAAAAATTAGTGCTGTCTATCGAACTTCCTAACAGTCTTTTATTTTTCAGATTTCTTCAATTACTTTGAACTTTGCGACCATTGATAGCCCACAAGTAAACTGCATCCTGTTCGCTGGTAATTATCTTATCGCGAAATGTCTTTTCTTGCGACGCTCGCAAGATTCTTGATGAATTACGAGGAGCATACTGCAACGGTGCGTGAGCATTCACGGCGCACAGGTGGTTCGACCTCGTCACCTTGCCACGGCTCACGCGACTGTTTTATCGTTGACACCCGTGGAATAAATCAATCGTGTTCGCGCGAGCACGTCCGAAGAAGGATACTCGAAGGACTGGGGAGCCATAGAACGTCGAAACAGAAAGTTCACGCCGGCCTATGAACCACGATACTAGCAAGATATAGTTGAAACCATCCAGGCCAACCGTCTCAATGCGCCAGGAACATTGGTTCTTTTCTAATTTTCAAGTGGAGACATTTGATGCGTTTTCTTGGATATTGCAGGATTAGTATTGGGAGAAGAACGCGAGGGTTAAGTATTATCCTAAAATGTTGACTTCTGTCGATTATAATCATTATTTTATAATAAATATAACTTGACTCTGATTTCTTTTTAGGATGAAGAAAAAAATGAATATAATATCAAAATCTAGCAGGTTTGTTTCCTCCAGATTCAATAATCAGGATAGTATTTTGTAAGTCCTACAGAAAACTGAGTATCTCGCCAAAATTAATAAAATGGATAAAATTTATTTATTAGCTTACCATGGAACTAGCTTCCCTTGTTTTGAATGACTTGTTTTGAAAAAAATGACTTATTCTTATAAATGTACATTCTATAAAAAAAATTGTAGCTTTAGGACTATATGATCATGAAAAAATAGGTAGGTACCGGGAATTAGGAAGTGACCTAATTTCTTCTTTACAAATTACCATTCTGTGTAGACATTTCATTATCACCTAATTTGCATAATTTTCATGTATTGTTCTTCGGGGCTTCTATTTTGGAACTGATTGCAATTTTATTTTTTCTGAAATTACATATTTCTCATATTTGTTTAAAACAATCGAAACTTATAACTTGAAATAAGCTAAAGTTCCTGTTAAATTAAAAGGGAGTAATATTTTCATTTTTATTCTAGATTAATGGATATTTCAACAGATGATTACAGTCAAGGACTTTACGTATCGTTGACATCGGCGACTCACATAAATTCGTATTTTCCGACTAAATAATTGCATTAATGAAGGAAAAAAGAAAAGAAAAAATTCAAGGGGGATTCCGTTGAATCAAGTAAGGTAATGCCGCTGGCATTTGAATTGCACGACGAAATTACATAATACAATAACTGGAAGAAGATCCAAGGAGAAAGTGTATTAAGCAGTTGGCTACAAAGCCTATGCGTTTCTGTGCTAATTGAATATCGGTGAGATTTCTCATTTGTAACTTTTTCGCGATCACACAATACCACTAATGTATTCAAAGAATGGAAAGGAAGTTGTACTCGTGATTGTTCCTTCTATGGATGCTATCGATAATTTATCCAGTACACGAACGAAATAAATCGATCTATACTGGTTTCGTGCACAAAGGATGATTCACGACGGCAAAGTTAGATGACACTTTCGAGGCAAAAGGGTAGATTTGTATCGTCACTGACCGTGCTGCTCCTTTTTCTGTTCAATCCGGAATACGGATGGAACCTCACGATTGCATAACTTATTTCGTGATTGTTTATGATGACGTAAAGTGTCTTCGAACTTCGAATTGACGTTTTATTTCTAAAGGAGATATATTTAAAAGCGATTTTAGAGGTTATCGCGATGAAAATTGCGAGAAAAAATTACTTCTAATTATATGCATTTCTAATTTTATGGTATTTGTATTAAAATATTTAATATTTGTTAATTTTCAGATTATCTGCAATTCCGTTCATCAACATTAGAAAGAGAGCCATCCACGACTTTACAACCTCCGCTGTCATCTTTGAAATATTCTTCACGATCGCAAGATATATTGAAAGATCATTTTGTACCGATACAGGTAAGCTATAACATTATTTAACGAGTTTAAAGCGTACAAAGGTTTAATTTCAGAATAAGTTAATCAATTTACAATCAATAATTTCATGTTTAATTATATAATTTTATTGTTTTATATTTTTTTTTAGTCCATCATTGAGAGCTAAAGTTTAAACGAAGAAAACGTTTTAAATGGATCAGAACGATAACTTGTCGTTTACAAAACAAACAAGGATGATCATTGTTGGTATTTCCGAGGCTTCAAATTATAGTGAATCAAGTATCAGATATATCTATAGGGTAGCTCCAGGCGATGATTTGCATTCAAACGGTGATACTTGGATGATGATGCAGTCTTTGGTCTTAGAAACTACTGATTCATCTAGTCTAGATAATCTCTTTGATATGTGTTTAACACTCTTGAATCTTTTGAAATGTCATTGATGTTTACAAACATCATTGATACCTTAATTTATCCGCGATTGTTAATTTTATACGCAATAATTTTTTACAAGGACTTAAATAATCTACTACCCTGAACAACATTAATCCTACGTATTTAAAAAATACAATTTCCCATTAATTCCTTTTTCTTAAATTATTTAAAAAGCATTTTTAAAACCAAGATTTACCAATCTTCGGGTTTTTACAATAACATATACAACTTATACTTAACCTTAAACGGCTAAAGAAAACCTCGTAAGAATACTGCAAAATCAGCTGTGCCTATTTACCTAGTCTACACAAACGACCACTTCAACGTCTATCATCCACAAAGCCCGAGTAATGCCTGACATTTTTGAAACACCCTCGCAACCTCGAGCACCACTATTAACAGAGCATCGATTCACCTGCGAGTATCTCGGTTCCATAGGCAGTGATAAAAGTGTAGACGCGGACGCAACAGTATACTTGTGTCTCGGTGGAGGCCCGTCTGCCGACAGTGTGGTGGCATTTAACCTATCCGTGCCATCGTGTTCACCAGCTCTGTTACGCAACCAGCGCCTTTAAACCGGCGACGAGTACGACGACGACGACGACGAAGAAGACGACGACAATGTCGACCTCGCGTGGTCCAGCTTGGATTCTTGCGAAATTCCTGATACTCGTGTGCAGGTTCCTCGTTGAAAAGCAACCTCGTGCCCTATCTGGGTTTATTACTTTGTTTCTTTTCAATAGAATTGACGATCGGTTCAGCGACTCTTGTTACGTATACTCGACTTATGAGGTTAATTATCGCATGCTCGATTTATACGAATAGGCATATAGTAGAGTTGAACGTATACAAGAGAGTATGTTAGTCGACGCCAATGAGATGCTACTTAGAAAACGATGAATCGTCTGGTCGTGAGCTCATGCTTTTGAGGAAGAAAGAGAGAAGAGTGAAATTTTCTAAGAATCGAAAGAATGATTATACGATTTGTGAAACAGAATTTATAGAGTTTAGGAGTAAGTTTGTTCTTGGTACAGACTTGGTACACACAACGAGAAAGAATAAAATATGTAGTTGGATGTTTGTAGATAATTTAATCCGTCATAATAGTACTTTAAATTACATTTCCGTCAAATTTCAAGTCTCTTTATTACAATTTTTATATAGTCGATCAATCAATACAAGTAAACATAAAAATATCAAATAAGGATCATTCTCAATACTATTTTTGATATATCTAAATTTAGATATTTTTTTAAGTTGTACGTGAAATCATTCGTGTCCGATAAATTTGAGAATAAAACTTTCTAGAATGAACTTTCTAAAAGTGCGTCAGCTTCTACATAGGAAGCAAATTGCCAAATGATAAGGCAACAGGAATTTTTCTTCTGAAATTTTCTTGGAATTTATTATGCTTTTATGAAGAAATTAAGAAGATATCAATAAAAAAAAATAATAATTCATAAACATTAACGAATATTCGTATAAAATATGGAAGTCTCCGTCAACATCAGTATGTCTTTATTTAGGAATTAATTATTCGATGCATCAAAGGAAGACATGAACGAAAGTTCCATCCTGTAACTCTTGGTCTTTTATCCATAGATAAAGTAGACAGAAAATATTGAAACCGGAAGACGACACGTTCGGTCATCATAGCTTAACACGAGATATGCATCGCAACAATCAACTCGTTAAAAATATTTACATAAGCAAATGTAATGTTTGAACGCTTTACATGTGTTGCACGAATCGTGAGATTGGTTAGAGAGATACCAGTGATGGATTCAAGTCAGCATCCCAATGGAGTTTTAACGAAATAATTGACTTCGTTTATAGTTTCAACGGGTTCCGGCACTGTTTCTTTTAGACAAAATATAACTTCTATGCTTCTAAATAGACAAAGTGGCGAGAAAAGTTCCTGGAGCATCTGTTTTTTATTCATTCTTCAAACGTCGAAGAAATGCCTAATATAAATTTTAAAAAATCATATAAAAGAAGCAAAAACTTTTCCTTTCGTTCAAGTACTTACGGGCAATTATCTCTCGTCAAATACAAGAAATTAAAAACAGACTGCACAATTAAATCCTTTACTGACCGATCGATGTTTTTGCTCCCTAATCTAAAGAGGATCCTCCTTCACGTCGCGCACAATCGATTATACAATATCGTCGCGCCTCACGACAAGCAGCGACAAAAAGGGAAAAGTCACGACCCGAGCGCCACTGCACGAGTCGGTAAGAATTCAAACGATTATCTAATGTCGTGCCACCTATATTCACCATGAGCAGATTCCGTGGGTGGGGAAACATCTTAACGAAACCTGATCAACGGAAATTTCACTGAAAGTATGCATGAACAAACCTGAAGAGGATAATAGTCGATTTTATAATAGTGATCGATTTTAGTGTCATTTTTTGGATCGGCTTTGTATAGTAATTTGTCATTTGTCTTCAATTTCTCAATAACTTTGTTTTATATAACCTCATTTACTTCCTATTTATTACAAAATAACACTCAACGAATTTATCGATAACATAATGACAAGTTATAGACATTTCAGTTACTGACTCAGTGTCTTCATTACTTAATAATTTATACAGTTATGTCACACTGCCGTTAAAATCTGTTTTTATTATTCGAGGCTTTATGGCGTTTAAGCCTACGTGTTTCTATGGATTCTACAAGCAATCGTTCAACCAAAATGTCCGGATGATGTAACTGTCTATTAAAATATTTATTTGTGTAGTTTACAATTTTAATTCAGAGATCTTTCCTTGATGTATCTTTCATCATGAACCATGGTATGTTTGTTATTATTCAAAGAATTTATGTATGATGTATTAGTAGTATTTCATTGTTATAAATTCCCTTTTTTAATTAGTTGACTTTTTTTCCTTATTATGACACTTTTTTTCTTGTAACTATCTTCATATACTATAAAGCAGTTATCTTACTATCTAGTAATTTATCATTTATTTTAGATAGCGTGAAATTTCCTTTGCTTATGAAATTTTTTAATTATTTATATTTAAGAAATATAGAGAATTTGTCACACTTTTTGACTAAAGTAAAAGTAAAATTAGCGTCTTCTTGAAATTAAAAAATGTAACTTTCGAATATTTCGGGAATTTAAAGTGTCGTAAAGGCTCAATGCGTCCGTAAATGTTAGACATAAATCAATTTTGTATGAAGATACACACGCTTCTCTCAATTCATTGATAAATCCTCTTTTCTCATTTTTATGATTACTTTATGTCTTTCGAACACAACATTTGGTAAACGGTAGTCGGATATCATTATACTTAATATTTCACTTTTTTTGATTCATAGTGACTTTTAGAAAGATTGTTTATGTAAGGACGTTTTCTAACCTTGTCCAGATTAGTTGGTAACTTTTTTCTCCGCTTAATTTAAGTATTTAAGTATTAGAAGTTTTAGAACTCAGACACACGATTCTTTGATAATTTGTATTTCTTATATAATCAAAATTCTCGTAAAAATTTATATTAAATTTATCTAAGTGATATTAATAACGATTTTGAATAATCTAAAAAATTAATTTTCTATAATTTAAAAAATTATTAATCGAAATTAAAAGAAAACATGATAGTTTATTTTTTGTCTCTGATCTAGTTTAACAATTAATATTCATTTAGTATAATTTACTTAGATAAATATTACAGAATAATATTTATTCAGTATAAATATTTATATTCGTAAATAAAGTAGTAAGTTAACATTTTCTTTGACAATTCCAGCCTAGGTAAATACAGCAGCTGGTTTACGCACCCACGAGAAGAATTTAAATGTCACATTTCCAAATATATGACTCAACAGAATTGTACAAGTACTATTATCAACAGAGGTATCGATCATCTTAAATCGCCATTTCTCAAAACGAAAACGTAAATAACAATCCATCAAAAACTACCTACATTCTTTCATAACTTTAAATTCAACCTGTAAGTATAGACATAAACTAATATGAAATAATTTTTTTTACAGATATTATAAAGCACGTAGAAGAAAAGTTAACAATGATAAGGAAGTGATAATTCCACAATGTATGCTACATTACCATTCTCCTATTTTGTTCTTTATTATATACTATTTTTATAAATATTTCCGAATAATTAATCTGCACGGTAAGTGTATTAACAGTTTAATAATAATTCGAAAATAATCTAGGATAGTACTATTGTTTTCCATTGCATTATTACAATTTAGTTTTTCTCCATAATATTATTGATAATGATAATTTTATGTACATTTTTTCCTTATATTCTATTTACATTTTTTTTTCTTTATCCTGTAGCAGAATTCCTCGAAAACCTTTCTACGAATGTTGAGACGGGTGTAATTCTCGCAATCAGTAATGTGTTAAGAACGTTGAGCATGCGAACGTAATCATAGGGGAATCTCACGAAACGAGCCTACCTTCGATTACACGCATCGTACCCAATCTTCGTAGCTTTCGATCAATTACAAGGATATGAAACCCCAATGGAGAAAAAAAAAGTGAGGAAGAAAGAAGAATCGTGACATAGAGAACATAGATCTTCTCGCGGCCAAGACTTATCTTCTTCCCTTTCCATGTCGTCTCTTCTGCAACGATACCTGACTCTTTCGAGCATTAGCATAAGCGGCCTCTATCTCTTACGTAACATTCACGGACTTTCTTTTCGTGCTTCCACGTGTATCTTCCTCTTTCTTCCATCCTCTGTTTCGATTTTCGAGAAATTAGAGATCCTAGGATACTATTTCTGTTTTCATTCGTTGCTTCAGGTAGAAGAACGGCCGATTAAGAAGAAGAACAAGGTCGTCCTGACGCAATCATTCCCCACGAGTTGTTTCTTCGTGATTCTTTATTTTTAATCTTCGCGAATTTGAATATATTTACAAAATTTGTGAACGAGTATCGTCTGTAAAAACGAGATGTCATCGATGAATTTCATGGGATGATTATTGTCGTGATTTCGACATGTCGATGAATGAAACAGAGAATCCGAAAAACCGCAAAAAGTTTTTGAAAACAATTATTTAATTGCAATCCGTCTTCGAAGTTGAAGATATCGAAGAATACGAAGTTATTGCAGAATATTTAATAATTAATATTAAATATCAATTTAAATTGAACAATTACCAGTGCTACTGAATTAATTCTTCACGTATTAGAGACTCTTCCTTAAGAGACTAATAGCATTACAAAAGAGTATCAGAACAAAAGAGTACATAATCTGTTCGTCGCAATTAACCCTTTCATGTCATTGTGGTAAAAATCGACGATAAAGTCAGACATTATGCTATTGATCGGTGATGTATGTTAAAGGTAGCTGAACGTGACTTTTGCTAAACATCGAGGTTCACCTTTCGAAGAGATGAATACTTGTTTGCGTGACCTCCGAATATTATATCTTTGATTGGTGACCAATTTAGGAAAAATGTAAACGACAGTGAACGCTGAGAATCCATGTATCGTAATAACAGGCCGAATCCAATTTATCGTGAATTATGATAATACATTGGCGGTCCTGGTCAGTTTTACTAATACTCCATTAAAAGAAGTGCGATTATGTAACATCCGAGACTTTTAGAATATCGATGAGCCGAGGACATAACCACATGCTGTTTGTTTTAATTTTTTAAATATTAACTGCAGTTGGTTTTCTTATCTTCGCAAATATTCTTACTCATCGTACCTCGGTGGTACCACAATCTTCTCTTCGACTTTTAGCACAGAATAACCATCGTTTGCATCCATAAATTCATATTCTGTCTGAAAGAATCATCTTCTTTGTTCGTCTTTCGAGGGACTACAATACCAAGCCCTGTACATCTTCTGCAAGGATTTTTCTGACGCCAATCGCGTGCATTGTTCCATCCAAGTTTGGTAAGACGAGGATCCGCACGGGACAACAGGCACGGTGAAACCGCGTGCGATTTTCGTTGCTGGCTGCTCTTCCTCGAATTCTTGCATGACATTCACCGTCTCTTCCTTTGTCGGTCATCGTTCTACCAGCCGGCCAATGCCATTCGGCGATTTCGACATCTTCGTTGAAGAATTTTGGGAACCGGTTCCCTGGAAGGGGCAATGTTCATTTGGAAATCCGACTATATAATGCTCCTGTGAATTAACATTGAATCAGTATCGTGATCTAGCTATCTCAGGTCAATACCTATACCATCTTCAACGATCCAAAGAAGTTCAATCGAATACCAAAAACAAATCAATCATGAAGCTGGTGCGTGTTCTCTTCGACTAATATTACAACATTTTGAAGCATTCGGATAACAAAAGTGTACCGCCGTGTTTCATTCGAATTTTGTTCTGATTTTTCATTTGGACCATCCACGATCGCAATTCAAAGAAAAGAAGACAGATTAAACATCGTTTACTATCCTTCGTTTATTATCCATTAGTGAATCTTCATCCTCGAAACAGGAATAAAAAGAGACGATTGTTTGTGAGAGATCGTCGATGATCCAACGGTTACGAGCGTGCAATTAACGAGCACGGGATCGTTATGTACCATTAACGATACAACGATACCGTGTCCCACAATTACACGTAGTATCTTCCCCTATTGTCGAGATGCAAATATGTTTGTAGAATTATTTTAAGTAAATCGCCGGTAACAGATCTACTTGCGTAATTCCTTTAGAACGCTGCGAAAACCGGTGTTCTTGCGACCGGAAGACAGTGACGAATCGCGTTGGAATAATTAAAGAAACGTATGAAACAAGATAACGTTAATTCATCGTCTCGTATTTACCGCAGAACTTTGTGACTACATACTTTTTCACGATTGTTTTAGTGTACGATTCGATAATCGATTTTAAAATAACTCTGAATGAATTTTTAAATAATGTTCGCCATCTTTATCTTACGTTTTATCATACGTTAGTCTGCTGTATTTTTTCAATTAGCAAGATCGAACAAAAGAATGGGAACAAAGGAGTATTCATTCATTCATGGAGTTTCGTTCAAAGTGCTAATTTACTTTTTCTTCTTGTAGTTTGTTGCTTTCGCCCTCGTCGTTGCCGTAGCCTACGCTGCTCCTCAAGGTCATCAAGAGGACGTATTGCTCGTGAAGGAGACACCCTCTGATAATATTGGTCTGGGTGGATATAATTACGGCTACGAACTTTCCAATGGTCAATCTCACCAGGAAAGTGCCGAGTTGGTTAATCAGGGAACTGAGAACGAAGCCTTGGCTGTCCGAGGTAGCTTCACCTGGGTAGACCCACAGACCAACGTCAGATACACCGTCAACTATGTAGCTGACGAAAATGGTTTCCAACCGCAGGGTGAACACATCCCGGCTTGAGATGTACACTTTAGTTTTAAATAAATTTTTCTTTTAAGCATTTCTTTCGTACATTTCTCCCTTCCTTGTTATATTATATTTCCTTCTTCGTTCGTTTAATGTGTTTCTGGATTTAATGTGTTTATGGTATGTTTTATTTATGAGAAATGAATTTTATTCAGATTTGCGATACTTAGGAATAGAATTTTTTTTCTCGAATATGTTAACATAAGAGATCTGTTATTAAGTTAAAAATGTTTTTGCATTGTATATTTTTATTGATTCTGTGTTAAGCTGAAACAAAATCCTATAGAAAAAAAGTTAGAAAGGTCAGGAATTTAGAACCTTAATAATCGTACTATAGTATTATAAGGGACAGTTTAATTCTTTCTTTTAGTAGATTGCCACGTACTCTTAATATTTATGAAACACATTATTCTGATATATATATATAACTATATATACAACTATATAACTATATATATTTTTATAATATATATATAATAAATAATTTCAATGTTTGAAATTAATTTTTATTCAAATATAGCAAATATAGTGGAATACAGTTTCATGATAAATGAAGACTATGTGAGATAAATAAGATGAGTTTTTTGTAATAAAAAAAACCAGAACATTAATATCAATACTTATAAAATGTTCAAACTGTTGACAAGAACGCATATTTAATTGCAAACCCAAATAATAATACGGGTTTTGAAAAATGTGGCATTGGTTAGCAGTGTATTGAACATAAAAATTATTTTGTAACAAACCGAAGGTATAATTTAGTTTCTGTGATCTCCAATTGTAATAAAACATGTAAGAAGAACGAAGAATATTGTACAATTTCAAAAATAAGATAAATTCATTTCATTAATTATTACAATTTTTGATCTTCTGCTACATAAGATTTACCAATTTATTTTTAGTGCGAAATATATTTAAAAAAAGAAGGCGAAAAAAATCACGATTCGCTGCTTTCCTCATAAATTCATAGTGAAATGCAGTTATTATAATTTTAAATTTATTTAATCTTGCTGATACATAAAATGAGCAAGGATCAAATCACTTACACGATAAAGGAGAAGAAACCAGATGTTAAATGCAGTTACATAACATTACAAAATTTATCAGTGAATAAATAATAATATATTTATGTTTAAAATATACCAGAGAGAAAAATATTACGAAATACAAATTCCATAATCACTGCATGCTTTTATGATAAAATTAACAAATTAGAATAAAGTGATAAAATGGTAAAATGCAAAGTATAATATCCTAATAACTAAAAATAGTCTTATGATCCTTGAAAAATAATTTAAGATATGCACACCATTCAGTTATGTATTCAAATGTACAATAATTACATTTTATAGAAAAATCATTTAGTGGAACATAGACTACGTGTATTAGATTAAATAAAGTAAAAGAAATTAGAAGAAACTAAATTACTCTTTGGAAGAAGAAGTGGAGAATTGGCAATGGTGATGCCTTCTGAAGCGCCAATTTCACCTGTTACAGCAAGATATTTGTAATGATGAGGTATCATAAAATGATTGCGTATGTTTGACAAGATGATTTTGAAATTATTCGTGTTGTAAAAATTCGGTAGGTTATATGACAGATCTCCTTGATCCGAAACTTTGCTTGAAAATCAATTATCCTTGGATCGTAATATCAAGAATTTCTCAAGAGTTATGCAAATAAATGCCATCGATTAAATTATCGACTATTTATATCGTAAAATAAAAATTATTCGATTATTTTAGTTAAAGATTATCTTCCAATTACATTGGTAAGTTTGTTATACCTGTATGACGTATTAAATATTATAATAATATATTTATAATATATTTAATTAATATATACTATATAAGAATAACTAATTTATTAATTAATTATTAATTCTGCAGAAATGTTGTGTTGTGTTATTGAAAAGAAGGAGAAGATACAGTTATACTTTGGTGTTTCAAAATAATAGAATTTATTAAAGAGTGTACAATTTTTCTTTACAATTATTTTAAATTTTATTTGGAACAGAAATAGTGTAAGTACTAGAATCATCTTGTATAATATATTTCTTATTTCTATACTTAACCAATTATTTATGTAATGTTAATAGTTAATTTTCCCACCAAGTCACATAAAAAATCGAAATTTTTACTCTTGACAAACTAACATACTTTTGCAGTGTAGGTCAGAGTATTAAAACTAAAATTTTTCCCCCTAACGTTACGAAGAACGGTGAAAGGTGAATTTATCCTGACACCGCGCGATTTTTGGCAGGAGGAGGGCCACTATAAAATTCGGCGCGATTCTCATTATCGGAATCAGTTTTTAAATCGAAACTAATCTTGTACCACCTGCTTTCAACTACCTTCAACTACCTCCAAAATGAAAACCGTATGTATCGCAATAATTATTATACGAAATAAGTATGAATTTATTATGCAAACATGACTTGAAATAACTGAAGAATAATCAAGTTTTCATTATTTCACATTAATTCTTATATACTTTTAACTTTTACCATATTTTAATGTGCTACTAACACGGGTAATTATTGAATTTGTTAAATTTTTATGAAATTAAATTTGCAAATTGAAAGCAAATTGATTACATAGACGAGTTATTAATTTTTAAGCACAATTTCTTAATTTTAATCTAAATCCTGTTATCTCAATATTCTAAAGACTAATAGATATATTTCACTTTTTTCAGATCATTGTTTTCGCCGCCTTCGTTGCTGTTGCTCTCGCCGCTCCTCAAACAGTGCCTCAACAAGCAGTTCTAGTCAAAGAAACTCCCTCTGATAACGTCGGTCTTGGCGGTTATAACTATGGTTTCCAACTTTCCGATGGACAGGTTAAACAGGAATCTGCAGAATTGGTAGATGGAGGAGCTGACGGTCAATTCCTTCGAGTTCACGGCAGCTTCGGATTCGTTGACCCATATACCAACGTTGCATACACAGTAAATTACGTTGCCGACGAAACTGGATTCCACCCACAAGGAGAGCACCTTCCCCGAGTTTAAATTTCTCAAATATTTCGCATAATACATTCACCGATTGGCATAGTACAACATTTTCTACAAGTTGAAACAAAAAGTCTAATTACCAATTTTTTTCTCAAAATCAATATTGTACCATAAAAGTTAGAATAGACCTAACACTGTGTGTACCTTCCGCTCGGTTTCCGAGAATTTTATAGCTGCCTAATTTTTGTGTCATTCGCACAGGATTTCCAAACCGATTGTACGAACTGAAATTTCAATAAATTCATATAAATTATACTGTTCCTAGAACGAAAACAAATTCTTATTTATAAAAAATGGTATTACTACCAAATTATGTAACGAGGCTCGTCTATGCTTCCTATTTGAAAACAATTATCGGCAGATTAAATCATCAGTAATATTTCGTAACAAAAACTTTATTTTATTGTAAATATATAAAATATTAGATCACTTATCTGTGATATATAACTCCTTGATTATACCCTTAGCGTTCATACTGGCTCTGTTCTGTTTCTTCATACTCCCATACCACTGCTAGATGGACTTACTTTCTCATTTCAAAGAAGATGGTGATGTTATTACATCATATTTCTAGATTGGTAAAAAAAATTGAAATTGAAGAAAGTATAGGACGGAATAGGCTATAATTTCACATCTAGTGTCTGCAGTTTAAATTTGAGTTTAAAAATGTTTATTGGGAAATACAAAAATTTTAAGACACAAACAACATACAGGATAGACCTAACATTATGTGTAATTTTTCGGTTTCTGTGGGCACTAGTGCCCCCTTACCATTTCAGTATCAGTCATAATGTTATCAATGGAGTATCAAAACTAATTATAATGTATAGTGATGGAAATGAAAGTACATTTAAATATTACTAGGCGAAATAGCTACTGTGTCATCTGCGTTTGTGTAAAGGTTGTGTAGTGTATATAATTATTGGCAGAATGCCAATGTAGTAGTATTAATACTTTTATTAATATCTGCAAATCTAAGATTTTGCGGCATTTCGGACCAGGCGTGTTATTCATGAGTAGTCAAGTACATGATAACTTCTCGTTCTCGTAAAACATTTTCATAGTTCATCTCCGCCACTCTTTCGAGCCATTATCTATTATTATGATGTTTCGAATTGGAGGGTTGTTGGGTTGATAGTAAGTACGATATCAATGCGAAGGTCTATCAGTTCTAATCATTCTTGGTATCATCGCATACACGACCAAAGTATGAGGTCTATAGTTGGACACATATTAAGTGCCTAGGGTAAGATCAAATAGGATAATTCTTTAATTGGTACTGACCCTTTGGGACAGGGGCACAGTGCGTCTGTGTTTGAAACATAAGCAGAGAAATGTTTTTTTACGCTAGATCTATTCTCTATACCTCGTTTAGGATTGTCATCTAATTCAATGCTGAATCGGTAACGTTGGAAGTGATAACAAAATGGAAAGTGGGTTTCTATGCCCTCGAGCCGTGGAGCAACGAAACATATTGAGTAATAGGTCTATTCTATACCTCGTCTGTGCTTATATTTCGCTTATGCTCATATTGAAGCACCATCTACAAATAAGATCTACAACGTTGCACACGTTGTCATATAACCATAATACTTGACACGTCAAGTCTTATAGGTTTCGTGTGTTACAATGTGAATAATTTTTGTTTTCCTTTTTTTAGTAGATTTACTAACTGTAGCAACTATTTAACCGGATAGAAATTAAACAAGTGATTATGATGTTCCTTATTAATGTTAACATAAGTTTGAGTAATATGATATTTTAGTAAATTTTTTACCCAACTTGTTGATTAAGGTTAGAAAATCTTCGGACTGGTTATGCGATGTGACTGATTTAAAAATAGTGACCAAACATGCCGAAATTCCGAATGCTTTCGCGTACATCGCGAATTGTAGCATTTAGCTCTGTTGCAAATTTTATATTTGCGGCAGATAGAGTTATAATGCCCATAACCATCGTTGCCATGACAGATGAATTTAAATGGAATTTACATTGGCAAGGCTGGATACTTTCTGCCTTTGCCTTTGGTTATTTTACTAGTCAGGTATATTAGAATATTTAATATTTAAATCTTTTTTTTTAATTCAGTGTAAATAATTATTCACATTTACTAGATTTATATAACTTTTACGTTAGATCATGGGTGCAAATACAGCAAGTCGCTTTGGATGTAAAAGGGTACTAATATTAGCTGTTTTACTGTGGTCTATCAGTACAGTTATAACTCCAATTTTAGCTCAGTCTGTTCTATTGCTCATTATTTGTAGAGTAATTTTAGGACTCGCTGAAGGTCTAGGTAATATATAATATATTAAACAAATAGTCTTGTAAATTCATAAGTTTTGTGAAATATACTACGGTATTTATCATTGTGTTGGTATTAGGTCTACCAGTTGTTTTTCATCTGTTTGCACACAGTGTACCTGTAGAAGAACGATCTAGAGCATTTGGGTATCTTGTAGCAGCTGGTTCTATTGGACAAGTTTTTGCATCTGTCGTAAGTTTGAATTTTATATAATGAGCTTTGTCTAAAATTATTTATTTATGAGTAATTATTTCACTAAAAATTCACAATATACTTACAGTTATGTCCACATTTGTCATGGCAAACAGGATTTTATTTATTTGGTACAATTGGTATTATATGGACATTTCTATGTCTAATAATGTACCATGAAACTAATACTCAAGATGAAATCCCATTATTTATACCTAAGGTAATCATTTTGTTAAAATTGTTCTATGTAAATTTAATATTTAAGTATTAGTTAGTATTTCCCAATTTTAAGGTAACACAAAATAGGAGTTTGCGTTGGACTGAATTTATTTCCTATTGGCCTTTGTGGGCATTGTACATAGCACACTTCGCAATGAATTGGAGTAGCTACATAATAATGCAATGGTTACCAACTTACTTAGCTAGAAAGCTTTCTGCTAACAAGGAAAGTATTAGTTTAACAGCACTCCCATATATTGTGAATTCTCTTGTTGGCATTGGTATGTATCATTTTATATCTATTTTTTTATATAAAAATTATATAAAAACATCATGAAAAGTCAATAATTGAACTTCTTTCTTATTTCATTATAGTTGCTGGACATAGTGCTGATAACCTTATACAGAAGAGGTGGCCAGTTCTATCTGTAAGAAGGTTAATGACAAACATCGGCTTAATTGGCCCTGGTGCATTTTTATTAGCATTCTGTGCTGTAGACAATTTACTTGCTGCAGTAATGTTAGTATGAAAATAATATATATAAAATAACTTTTATTTTAATTTTATATTATAATTTGTAATTCTGTTTTCCCCTAGCTTTGTTTCAATATCTATGGGACTTTGTGCGTGTAATTCTGCGGGTCATCTTAGTAATCACGCGGATATAGCACCAAATCACGCGGGCATCACATTTGCGGTCTCTAATACCATAGTATGTTTCTAGTTTCTCTCTTTTAGTAAAATAAATTCCTTATAAATGAATAATTTAATTGTATATTTTAGGCAACTATACCTGGTATATTGTGTGGTCCATTAACAGCCGAATTAGTGACCGCGTCGCATGGTCGTTGGATGCCAGTTTTTGTATTGGCTGCAGCAATCAATTTTACGGGGGCCATCATATACCAAAGTCACAGTTCAGCACTTCCTGTATTGTGATATGTTTTGAGTGCATGTGAACTTATGAGTATTTATCATGGAAATCAACGAATAGACGTGATCGATAAAAACTTGTTACGTGAACCTACTTTTTTCAATCACGGTCTCTAGATGCAGTTTTTTCAGAAAAATGTTAACCATTTATGAGACACAGATATGATATCAATACATCATGCATCAATTAGTTGAAGACATATCAAAGTACTGCATGTATATGTTGCAAGAGAATTTCATATATTTTTTGCATTCAGTTCACACTACGTCAACGTAACGCAAGTGATTCACAAAAACAGTGCCATAAGTTTGTGCACACGGTGAAATTGTTTGAATGATATTCTTACCGACTTGTAAAATACATTAGCCTAACTGAGCGTTTTTAATTTGTATATGTTTTAATAATACTTAACTGAAAATATCTTGTGATACGTTTTAACATACAAATAAACAAAAATTCTCATCTTTTCATAGAGAAAATAAATGTATATTCTGTAAAACATGAGACTGTATATATATACATATATACACACACACATATATATAAAGAAAGAGAAAAGAAATTAATTTTCACATATTTCAATTTATATGTGTTGATGCACTTTCAATGTAGAAAGGTATAAGTGAGCAATGTATTACATTAAGCGAAAAAAATATGTTTTCTATATCGTTTAAAGTATTTCTTAAATCCTGCATTTTTCTTCTTTATACTATTTAATTTTATTATATTGTTATTACATCATAAATTAATTTTAACAGTTAATTTTATGAGGTATATTTCAATCTTAACAAATATTGCTAACTTCTACATAAGTTTTAAGGATGTATCCTTTTTTAGATATTCTGATTGAAGTACGCCTAACAATGTATTTTGAGATAAATTATTATTCAATGTATGTAAACCCATTGCTATAAAAGTATTGTCTTTATGTATAGGCTTAGTATTTGTTTGAATCGAAGTATCTGAATTTAACACATTATTATATTGTGTTAAATGATCATCTTTTTTTGGTGATATAATGTTTGAAGTTACTTCCTTCAATTTTGCACTTCCAATTTTTTGGTCTACAATTGTTTGCGTGGAATTTTGGATACTTGTACTTTTCAATTTTTCTACATTTTGTATTGGGGAATTTTCTTCATAATTATCATCTATATCATATATATCAAAAGAATTTATGTTTAGTTTCTTTAATATATCTGTCACATCGTCCAAAGGTATATCTAACTCCTTAACTTTTGATTCTTCTTTATTAATTAAATTCTTTTCAGCTTCAGTAATATATTCATCTAAATACTGTTCAACGTCAGAATTAATTTTCTTATAATTTATCCGACTGTTTGCATTTGAATTTCGTTTATTAAGGTTCATTGATAAGCTAGAATTAAATTTTGTACAATGTTTGCCGTTTTGAATTTGCATATTCGAAAGAAGAGATTTTTTTTCAAATTTCCTATTGTTAGATATATCTTTTTTCGTGGTTACATCTGATAAATTAGTCGTTAGAGTATTGTTCGGTGTATTGTTTGCTATTTCGTCAACTATTTTTTTATTTTCCTTAGGGAAGAGTAGGTTCTTTATTTTTCCCGCTTTTTCTTCGAAAGATAATTCTGGGGGATTTAATGTTTTTATTGCACCTCGATGCAAATACTGATTTGATTTTGTACCCAAATAGGATCTTTGAATTTTATCTATTTCATGTGTCATTTTTTCTAATGTGTCGTATAATTTTCTTGAACGAGTGTTTGCAAAACTTTTACTTTGTATCCATCCGCTGTCTGTACGTAACGCTCGCCAATCTGACTTTACTTTTTCGACTTCTTGATCAATATCGTTAACCAGTTTTCCTGAAAAATTAGATTTATAGTATCGTTATGATTTAAATATGATAAAAACTAATATTACACAAATTTAATTAATATTTATAATGAAAAGAATTAATAAACATGATCTTGGAATAATTTTTTAAATGTCACATTGATGAAAGAAAAATATTTAAAAGATTGATTGAAAATTTCTTCAGAAGTTAATTCATTTATTGTATAAAAGTTAATTTATAATTTTTCATTATATTTCATATTTTCTAATTTTCTAATTAAAAACCCCCATCAAAAATATCTTACGTCTTTCACTATGATCTTTAACCAATCCTTGTTCAACATTTATTATTTGTTTTTTTATTGTAGGTAAATTTGCATTTCTTTCATAATTGGTCATATTTTCATATTTTTCTGAATTCCCTAGTGCAGTATTGCTACGTTGATGCAACTTTGGTAATACTGCTGCAGCTTGCGTCTGAACACTGTTACAAGTTTGTTTACCGTTTGTAGATCTTAAAGATGAATCTGAATATAAAATAGAAAAATATAGTTTTTAGTAAGAGAGGAGAAAAAAATTAAAGGTTTCTATGTTCTTTTTCTATTGTAAAGTTTTACAAACCTCCCTGTCCAATATTTGACAAATTTTGAAGTCCTTTTGTTGCATTATTGGAAATCGATGTGGAATTTCCAAATGGATTGAATTCGTATATAAAATTATGCGTTGCAGAAATTCTCTTTGGAAACCTTCTTGTTTTCTTTGACACGATTTCGACGGGCTATCAATATTTCCCCATATAATAATTATGAGAAAACGATTTGAAATGAAACAACAGGTACCAGTATTTAATTCAGTATGCAAATAAATTTCGAATATTAGAAATTAGAAATTGTTTTGAGTTCTATTATATCGAATATAAATCTCAATACAACGTATCTAACTTTCTTTAACCTCCATGATGATAGTTTTCCTTCGGTAGTATTGATATTCGTTCGTGTTTTTGCGCATTTAGATTTGCATCGACGAAGATCCAATTCTGAAGAAACTTGCTTTTCGTGAACGCTCGACACAGGCTTCGGCGATTCTTCCTTGTTAATTTTGACCAGACGAGGCCTGTGAAATTCCAGAAATCAGACTTTTCAAAATACTCATCATCGTTTTGTACAACACTTCATTTTTGCAAAACTTCAATTTCCGTTGTTCTTGTACTAACATCATAGACGTTTTTTCGCTTAATGCATTCGCTTGATCAGCATTACAAAGAAAAGTTTCAATTAGTTCTATCGTAATAATTTTCCTAATCTTTATACATATATTTTTACTCAGAAAACCAAATCTTACTTCTTATAAATGTTGGTACGAACGTATTCCTCGATGATTTTCTCTGGTTTTACAAAGTGTTGAAAATTGAATATGACTTCCCCCCCTTTTTTGTAGAAGATGGGTCCTGAACGAATGCGTTTTTTCTTGGTTGAACTCCAAATTGATTTGTACCAAGTTTTACAATCACTAAAATATATTCATTCATTTTTATTTTCTTTTTTTATATATTTATTCTAAATCGCTGTAACATATTAATTTCATTATTTATTTCAATAGTGTATCTATTGTTCATTAGAATTTTTCATCCTTCAGATTAATTAAATAATATGATTAAGATTTATATTTTTTGTTTTGTTTTATTTTTGTAGAAGGCGACATGTATTTTCTATACCTGGATTTATCAGTTTTTATTGAACGTTCTTTGTACTCTATTTGTTGATCTACGTCTCTAACAAACACGGACAGTCCATTGATACGCTTGATTTCGCGATTATAATCCCTCGAGGATTCAGGATACAATTGCAAAAAAGCCGGAGCACAGTGCAATCTGGAGCAACTTGGAAATCCTTCGAAAATATTCGCCAGTTCCAGGAATAGTTCTCGTATCCCGCTTATACCTTAAGATGTAACTTCATTTCTTATTGCATTCATAACCTGTATAAAAGATACTGCATCGAAAATGGCATGTGAGGAAAACAAAATAACAATAATTTTATATCGATCTTTGAGTATCGAGGAACACAAATGCAGCTAGTTTATAAATTATTTCACGAATTCCCAGATATTCTTATACTATTTTTGATAGTAACATAAAATTCATACATGACTCAAAATATATAAGCATATTTTGCCAGTAAAAATAATTAAATAGTAAATTAACAGAATAGCAGGAATAGTACAGAATAAAAATTTAATTTTTATTAAATAATAATTTACAACTTCTTTTCTATTTATATTCAAACTTTATGTCTTCTATTTTTTGAAAACAATTCCGAATATTTTATCTGCGATTAAAGGTATTAATAATTAATTTTATAACTTTTAGAGTTGCTGTGGATTCGTATAATAGTAATGTGATACTTTTTCACGCGACATCCGGTGGTCGTGATTTATATACTTCCGGAGAAAGACTATATAACTTAGATTTTTCTTACTACGCTATACTGATAATTTAGAGGAATGCGTTTTATGTTTTGATTATATTTTATTATATTAAGTAGAAATACGTTTCCATCTAAAAAATGTAATGTCATTGTGTCCTGCTATATCTATTATTTTACTATATTTTTATTTACTTTCATTTTAATATATTTTATTCTAATTTTCAATTTCGTGTTGCATTTTATGATACTTTAGAATGCTTTAATGCTCTGTTATATTATACTATATGCCTGTACTATATATTCTAATTTTAATATATTTTTTATCAATACAGAAATACTGAACAAAAATGAAAATCACATTTGCTTCGCAAATGTTTATCCATTCTAAATCTGGCTAATTACAAGGAACATTTGAAAGCACATATGACATTCCAAAATTTAAATTAACCCTCACATCTCGAAATTATGTTCGTCACAATACAACATATCTACTGATATTTCCTTTATCCTTTCCCTGGATTTCTTTGCAATGTTGTAATATTATCCGAGATTCTTTTTTACAATGTTAAACAACAAGAATTGTACACAAAATGGAGAGTTATTGTACGAAGCACACATGCTGCAAGAAATTTTGAAGATAAATGAGCTACTGACGAAACAGGCTTACTTAAATAACGAAGAACTTCGTAGTAATACTAAAGTTTCACCTAAGAATTGTACTAAAACTTCAATGAATCAAGATAGTCGTTATGCGAAAAGATTTAACGACGAAACGCATGAAACACATTTCGAAATGACATCAAACAGTGTCTTATCACTGCAAGGAGTAAATATTTCTTCAAGCATAACTGTGATAAAAATGCATTCAAAGACAACGTTAAAGAAGACAGAATCAAAAAGTAGTAAGTTTTCTGAGGCTGATGCTTCCTCGAGAAAAAGCCTAACGCCTTCTAAACATTCTTCGAATAAAAACAATGATGGTTCAAAATTGAATGTCGAAATCGATGATGAATTAGGCATTCTTGATTTATCAAGTCAGAATAAATGTGTTAGTTCTACTTTAAAAGGGAAAGGAACTAAAATTTTGCCGACGAGGACACGAAACGTCGAGGACAGAGATATAGGTGTTGCTCCTTTCAGTTGTCCTTTCGAATTGGTGGAGATTTACTCGAGCAATAAGGGAAGAAGTAGCAAGAATGACTTATGTCTAGACTTCGTTGACATAAATGATGAGACAAATTCGACAAGAGTTATACCAAAGGAAGATAACTGTGTTATTAATTCCACACCGATTGCAGATTTTATGAAAAATGATATAATGGAATTTAACGAAGCAAAGGCTTTAGATAAAGCTCTCATATCTACTATGAATGAAACTGAAGCCAATAGCGATGCAAATTTGATTACCATCTTCGAGGCAAATGAGAAAATGTATACAAAGAGGAATATGGAAGAGATAAATGGAAAAGTCGATATTAAAAGATCTGATGCATCTCGAGAAACACAAAAATATAATAGAAAAGAATTAGATGATTCGTCTATCTATGAAAATGATATTGAGAAATCTAAGTTACAAGAATCGTGTATCGGAATTAATAATTCTGATATTATTGAAAACAAACACTTTTTAAAACGTACTGCGCATGCGAATAATATCGTTTCAACGAACAAAGATAAAAATTTATCAACAACTAGAAAAGGAAACGACTTTAAGGAATGTCAAAACATTGATTTAATTCCTTGTTTAGCAGAAGCAATGAAGAATAACGATACTCCTCTAATTAAAAAGAAATGTTCTTTAAAATTAGATGACTTAATAAATAATACATTAACAAATGAACAAAAAGAAGAAATTTTAGCTATCAAAGACAATTATGAGGAAGGGCATCGAGACGTTGATTCAATTTCTTCTCGGGAATTAAATATTAATAACACTCAAAATTCCTTCACGAAAAATAATTCTTGTACTACTAAAAACACAGATATTCTCAATATTGATAAGCATAAGATAATTTCTACCAAAATAGAAAAAAGTTCCTTGTCTTTATTCGAAGAAGAGGATTACGAAATAAAATGTCAAAATGTCGTTAATTTAAATAATTCGCATCAGTCAAGTGTATCTGATAACAATACATTTAATCAATCTTCCATCAGATCCAGTGAAAGTAAAAGTAACATTTCAGAAACGACCTTCCAAAATGGAACTGATGCTTTTAGAAATTCAAACAGCATTTTATCATTGAGAAATATAAATCATTTAATAAAAGGAAAATCGAGCTATGAAAAAAAAGATATGAATATGGAATCGACGAATGATAAGATCAAGATAATCATTGAAAAACGTGAGAATAAGGAAAACGATATTAACATGGATGCAATTGGAGACAATAGTAATCATTCGTGCAATGAAAATATTCCATTATCGATAATAAAGAATAAAAGGGGAGAAAACCAAAATTCTCGAGAATTTTGTAACGATATTACTAGGCTCAAGATTCGAGACGTTAGGAATGGAATAACTACACGAGAATCGATACAAAATAGTATTAATTATGAAGATATAAATGTGTGTAAAATGTTGACGAAGATCCATGAAGAATTGACTTGCGATTGGCACAAAATGGAACGTCTTCAAATGAAATTACAACTCACGGTTACAGTAGAGTCTGTCAACTCGATGATGATGTTACAATTATTGGATAAAACTATAGCTAGGTATAAGATAATGAATAATTTGTATTTTTTATTTTGGAATTTTATTTTTATATGGAATGAACTTAAAGTAAATAATCAACTCAAAACACTTCTGCTTATGCTAATTCCACTTCTTTAACAGTTTTAAAAATTATGTTAAACAGATGCAAGAGTTACATTCACGGTTCAAATGATTGTTACGAAGCTGAATTGGAGATTGCCAAACTTTTGTCAAAATATATCGTTGAGTTGACGAGAATCGTAAAAGTTAATAAAGCAACATTGGAAGACCAAGGTTCGTATATTTACTTTCTAAAAGCAAACTTGATAATTTCTTTTTATAATTTACAAAGCAATTAATTGTATATTTAAAAAAAATATCAAATTTTTATTACAGAACGACGTGTTGACCAAAGACAATTAGAGTTGCTACAAGGGCACCATGTTGTCCAGAAGGTACGGTTTAATATAAGATAGAGTAATATTTCTTAAAATTATTTTTACGTATAAATAATAATTTGTAACAAATTTAGAGAAGTCTCTTGAATGAGATAATTCTGACTTCAAATTATTGGGCGAACGAAATATCTTGTTTAATCAAAACTATTTCATGTTTGGTGAAAAACGTAATTGCCGATAACGAAGAGAAAGAGAACGTTAAAAATCTAGAAAGGTATAAGACGATGCAGCGTCGAATAGTGAACAGTTTATCTACTAACGGTACCAAGTAAGTTTTTAAAATATTTGTATAAATATACAAGAATACTATATATAGATTAAGTCTTAATACCAACAAATATTTTAGGCAAAAGAGTGGAACCGTTCGATCACGAAACACGAAACCAGATCTTGTAAAAAAGGAAAGTACTATTGAGACTCAAATGTCAATGGTTCCAAATCCCGTTAATCCCTTGAGACAATCCAAATCCAAAATTCCTACAAAGCCCTTACATTTTGCAAGAGGTTTGGAAAAGGATAAGCATCTAAATGAAATATACACTGTCGATAAAAAAGTTACCGACAGCTGTCGTTATTCAGATCGAGGGAAACTACAAAAAAAAATGTTGAACATGAATTCAAATCAGTACAAGCAATCAGTTTCTCGTCAGAAACACCGTGCTCCCTGTAATCAGCAACCGGTTTGGAGGCCAGGAGGTGCAGCAAAAATTCCTACTTCGAACAGTGCAATGACGTTGACTCATAAAGGACGCCCAGTGATGCACGTTAAAGAAAAAACAAATACGGAAAACTCAAGGTACATAATAAATTTGTTACCACACAGCAGAAAATGTAGAATAAACAGATAATCTGTAACCTAAAGATGACTTGCAGCTACTGCACCTTTTATAAGTATCTTAATTAGTCTGATATTTTATTGAATGTTGTTTTATTAGAACATCTACGCATAAACGAGGATTTTCGATGGACCATATTCCTACAAAGAAGAATCTTATGAGTGTCGAGAAAACTATTGAGGATAATGGGAAACGAATGGCGAAATTAGTCAGTTACAATACGTAAGAATTTATAAAATATTCTTTTACAATTGCTATTGAAAATTAAGCTTAATTTTTTTTTTATATATGTATAAGAGTCTGTTTTCTTAAAGAATTTACAAAATTATAAATTATCATGATAATAATTTACTGTGACATTTTTATGATAAAAATTATAATCCTTATTGTCCATTTGTATCATCATTACGTATTTAAATTTCCAGATCTTCAAGTATATTAATTGTTTAACGGTTTAATATACTTGAGGAATGCTTTTAACAATGTTTGCTTATGTAACAATATAATATTATATAATAATAGCATAATAATATTATATAACATAAAACCTAGTTATATCTTTGACATGAAGCGACTTTATTAAATGATATCAATTGATATTTGGTAATTTTTTACACACTATTAGAAATTGAATGCTATATACACATAATTAATAATTAATCAATTAGTACAAATATAGCAACATTAAATAAAATTACTCATTTAGAGAAAAAAAACGTGGACCAGAGGCAATCGATTTAAAAAGGAAGCCCTCATTTGAGATGAAAGATATTACGCCGAGTTCAAATATCGATAATTTCAAGGTAGAAGGTAAAAGAAGTAACACGAGCTTGAAAGCTAGTCCTATACCGAAACCAAGACCAAGAATATCACAACCTCTGACAAAAACCTACAATAACTCCTTTTCCCGTAGTTCAGACCACTTGAACACACAAAATTATAGAAACACACTATCGTGTGATGCTATTAATCAAAAAAATCCGAAAGAATCAAAAGTTCTGCAAGCACTGGAAGAAATTATTAAAAATACATCAGAAAAGAATGAGGACAAAAACCCTGAAAATTTCACGCATGATAATCAATTTCAAAATGAAATACATTTTATTTCCTTTAAAGAACCGCAAGAATCGATCACAGTTAAAGAAGAAACAATGAAAATCAATGAAGAAGAGCCTACAAAAGACATTGTCTCTGATCAATGTAAAAAAAGTCAATTAAATATCAGTGAAAACTGTCAGGAAGGTAACAAAGTGATGGAGAATTTTTCAGAAAAACAATCAGTTCCAATTATATCGAAAAATAGTATTTCAGTTTTAAATATTAATGTTGGAGAGGGTGTCGGAAATACTGAAGTAAATAAAAATTTTGAAGATTTTGAGCCAAAGAATCATTCCAGCTTTATTTCTGCAAGTGGAAGTTGTATTGTGGATTTTAATTCGAGTTCTGTTGATACGATTAAATTGGAAGCTTCGAATTTCGGTGAGACTTCCGTAAATTCTATTTCTTCATCAGTTAAATCTCAAGAGGACAATGAAAAATCTAAGGAGAATAATACTTCTCAAAATTGTGATCTCGATTTCAATGAAAAACAACAGAAATACACAGAGTCCAAAATTGTTAATAATCTATCGCTTGTTAAAGGAAAGAAAACAAAAGTTAATTCTCATGCAGTGTCATTGAGTATGTTAAAAGAATTTCTTTCTGACCAAGGTATCGATGTTGACTTAGTGAACAAAGCTGAAAAGTACTTGAAGGACAAGCAGAAAACGCACAAATGTTTGAAAAAGAAATCCATCAGCTTCGCTGATATGCCTTCTGGAATCGAATATGATCAACATGTTAAAGCAACTCTGAAAAAAGAAACTTGTTGGAAGCGAAATTTAGGGACAGATATCGAGAAGTCTCAGGTAGTTTCTGATAACATTAAAAAGAACTTCAACGAGATTTCTTTGCAACCTTTACCAAGAATGAAAGATATTTTAAAACGTACAATTAAAAATAGTAATAACGCTTATTCTCAAACTGGTGTTCCGTGTAAAATATCTAAAGGTTTACAAATTATTCCTGAGAATGATACTTCAACGGTGATCAAATCATTAGGTATGGAGACGCAAACGGAAATAGTACAAAGAAATGTTTGTACGATGACGGAGTCTCTTCCTGTTCATGACAGTTCTACGGAAACCGTAAAAATTTATTACGTTTGCAAGTCTGTAGCTACTGAACATGTGAACGAACTTCATGAGAAAAATCCACAATTCCTCGAAAATAACAAAGACCTTTTTTTAAAGGATAATTTCCATAAAAATTTCGAAAGCGTTTTTGCGAAGCCAGTTATAGCATCTAATTCCATCAACACAGAGTCTAAAAATGTACAAATGGATAGAACTGATAACAATTCATCAAATGGATGTTCTGGAGTATTTCTACAATTGTTAGATCACATGCAGAAGGAGTATGAAAAATCTTTAAAATTTAAAGATGACTTCATGGATAAATTGCATTTTGACGAATTAAAAACATCATTAAAGACTAACCGTTTGAATTTATCTTCTGAATTTTTAGAAAATACTTATTTTACTGACAATACAATTAAAGAAGAAGTCCAATCTCCTATCAGAGCCGTTTCCAGTGAAATATTGGCGGCCATTCAAGTAACTGCCATTAGAGCTCAAAACGTGTACAAAGATATCGATATGTACAAACGAAAATTGAAGAAGAATTTGAAGAAACGAAAGAAAGAAACGAAACATGAAAGAGAGATTAGTAAAATTTCTAAAACGTGTAAAGGTGAATCGAAGAATATATCGAGAAGCAATAGTATAATTAAAATCATTATGCAAAAGACTAACGATAAAGAAAATGATATTAATGATGTGTCAAAAGACATATTGCAAGGAGAAGTTACGTCATTTTTGAGTGAAACTTCTTTCGATTTCAAGAGAGAAGTGGATGAAAACAATTTTAAATCTATTGAGACGATAAGTGTCGTCTCTGATGTAATGGATCGTAAAAAAGTCGAATTAAATATTCCAAAAAAATCATTTAGCGTCAGTGTGCTAAGAAAGGCTAGATCCTTAACAGAAAATTTTGTAAGTGAAATTGGTAAATTTGAAAAAGTCAAGTTTGTACAGAAAATGTCAGGTAGCAGTATTCATAAATCAAGATTTTGTAGAAACAAAAAAAGAAAAGCTGTGGCTGTGGATAGACAAGTTTTAGTTCAATTCTCAAGGAATAATTTATTGACACTGGTTTATGCTATCGTGTGTTCTATCCTGTGCTGTATTGTTTTCTGGTGTTTACAGTTAACGATTACCTGTGACGTTATCTTCTGATTTATGTCGTCCTTGTGTATTTTGTTATTCGTTTACATCGATCTTTCCTTATTTAAGTTTGTAAATGTTGTGTCGTTGGTTTTCCATTTATATTGTGTTTTATATTTATATTTTTAATACGTGTAATGTTCTTTTCGTGGTGTTTTATTATAGAATAATTTTCGTTAAATATTTATATTTTGTACATTTAAACTATTGTTAATTAAAAAATGTAATTAAAAAAAAATTGACCAATTAAAAAATTAGATTACAAAACATTTAATTAGTATTAAATGAACTTTATTTAGGTAAGATTTAGATAAGCTAATTAGGCAAAGTGGAACTATGCAGGTAACTTTTTATTTGCGGGAGAACACAAAGAAATTTAAATGTCATTATTTATAGACATGTTATCAAATATACAAATTTATGATTACAATTTCATGTATGCGGCAATATGTATTACGTTAAATAATTCACAAAATCCAAAGTTTAACAACTTATATTTCAAAGATATAAATATTTAAACGCATTAAAAGACTAATGCATTAAGTTTTGTAATAATAACACTTTTTTTATTGTTATATGCATTTTAAACTTACACAGTACTATATAATTGTAATATCAACATAATTAAAAATAATGATAACATGGAAAATGAAACTGATAGTATTGTTCATATTATCTATAATTTTCATTCATCAAAATAAAATAACAAGTATGTATGTCAATTCATCTTAGGTTATACTTATATAACTCTACGCTATTTCCTTCCATTATATAATTGTACGCGGTCTGAAGCCGTGTCTGAAAACGAATCACGTAATTCAGATAGCTATACATTTCAATAACGAGTCAGACGTTTTTATAGATATCATATAGTCATCGACCGGAAAAGGAGTACTTTTACAATGCAAGAGTAATGAGTCAATGAATTAATACATCATGAATTAATATCGTATGTTATCGATTTGTAATGAAGATGAAAACCTAACGAATTAAAAAAATTTTATTCGTCCATGTCGTAAACGTCAACAGTGGTGCTTCCTGTGACATCCACGAGTTCTTTCGAAGTGAAAGTGGCAATGATCTTCTGGGATCCAGCTCTTTGAGGAACCAGTTGATGTTCCACATAAACATCTTCTTCTGGTTCGACATCTCTAAATGATAGAGTCTTATTTTTTGTTAATCCTGGACCAGCATAATTAAATTTACAGTCTGTTAATGTCTTTTGCAAGGGATTCTTAAAACTGAGGCTGATGGTCGATGGCCTTCCCACCATGGGTTCATCTTCGATCTGAAAGATATTGAAGAACATTAGTCGATGGAATCATTAATTGGTAACGGTATGACAACATTTTTTTCTTTAATTAAATTAACAGTAGTTTTTGTTAATGTACATCTGATCGAAGTATTCAATTTCAATGTATCATTTGATCAGTATAAATATTGAAAATTTTATTATTATACGTAGGATAATTGATTACTGAAAAAATTTCATTGCCAAAAATAGGAGAAAACAAATAGAAAGGTAGGTACTTTGTTATATACGTATTTTGTTTGAATTCTACGTGAATTTGTGTTTAAGGTATAGTAACGATCGGACGGTTTACCTTGATCACGATATTCGGCTTCAAGACCTGAAAGTCATCTTCATCGGCCCAGGTCTGTTTAGTCTCCACAACCGTGCAAATGCAATAAAGTTTCATATTGCAATACTCAACGAGTTTGTCTAAATAATCGTCGGCCGTGACCCTGAGCCTCAACTGTTCGCCTAAGAAGAAAATAAACGTGACCGAATTGAATCACTAGGAGCATAGCAAATGGAATAGTTAAAAATATATCCGAATACTAAATATATTTAAAATTTTGGTTTATAAGTGAATATTGGATTCTAAAATAACATCATCAGAAAAAATTCGATGAAATTTGTAGCTGAATAGAATAATTATTATTAATAGAACATGAACTCAGTTTTAAAGTTGCCTGCTCAAAATTTATTTAGTATGAGTGGTAATCAAAGTCACTATTACCACTCAAAGTCACTACACGTGACTATAAAAGAATTACTTTGCTGCTATTATAAATGAAACTTGATATATCAGTAGTACAGCTTGCTATCCTGTAATATTTATCGATATCGAACAAATATAATTGATAAATTATTTTGAAGAAACAAAGGAAAACACTAACTCTCATGTAAGTACATGTATAATAGTGAAATGTATAAATTAATAACGACTTAATGATCAAAGGCGACACTTATCAGTTTTTTACAGAATCAACAAATTATAAGTTTAGAATATATATTAAAATGCTTGATAACAGCGTATAAAAGTGCAACACATAATTTTTAAATAAAGCTGCTGGTTTTAGATACCACTATTTAGATTAATCACGGTTGTCTTTTTATCAACTTAAGAGAACGTGAAGATACAGAATTTTTTATTTCTTAGATATATTACACACAATATTTTCAGTATATTTATTTTTCTTCGATCATGTTTAAGTTAACTGAGATAATTACAAGTAGACAAATATTTTTGATCAGTAGTACTTTTTTAAGTTTAATGGGAATCTTTAAGAAATGGTAAAAATCTATATTTAAGTTAAATAGAAATTTAGTTGGAAATAAAATTGAAATAAAGATTTTATGTTCAATAAAAATTGTTTTCCAGATAAAAATCAGTAAACTTACTGGCATGTGGTTGGAGATTGAAGGTACCATTTGCCCTCTTTACCAGGTGTGCCTTGATTCCCGTATAGTACACGCTACCAGCGGACAGGACGGCTTGAATACTACGCATCTCATTTGATTTATTCTTCATGTTCACTATAACTGCAAACGGTTTGCCAATTTTTACTCGTTCGATTTCCACAAGATCGAATTCGACATCTTCTTTCGCCGGTGAGGGTAAGGAGTAGAATCTTTTAGCGAGTTCCGTACTGCGTACTGCTCTATACAGTGTCAGTCGCTCGACATCCGATCCTTAATGAAAAATTGAATGAATCGATAAATATTATCGTATGATAATATTACCATAATATATACCATCGTATATGATATCGATAAATATTAAATGAGTATTAATAAAACAAAATATTTAGAAATTTCAAATATATAAAGTTTCATGAACCGTACTGTTAGGGATAACTGTATCAATATATTAATTTATTGATTATTATTAATTGAAATACGTGGCTATATAAAATAGTAACATTAAATAATTAATACTGAATAATTATAGTGTAAAAGTAAAATTCATAAAGTGATTAATACAAACGTTCATAATCATACACAAACTATGAAAATTGAACAATTCATTTGAAAATTGTTTAAAAAATTGGTAAAGTTAAAATGATTCAAATGAACTTTGATAATCAAAGTTTCATCTGATTTAAAGTTCAATGAGTTTCATTGTAAGAGTTAGAAGAGTTCGTTGAGTTTAAAAGTTTAAGTAGATATAATGACTAAAGATTCGTAACAGTGGTTGACTTTTAGATCAGGTCCATTTAAAAATATGTATCGTCTTAGTCATACTCATTAATTTCTGTCATACTATATATATTTATATATTGATATGTCTAATTTATTCTAGCTTAGCGTGTATTTAATCTAGAATATTTTTATAAAATACGGACAAAATAATTAAAAAATATATGTAATTTACATTACATATAATATAATTTACAAAGTAGTTAAGTATCGATTCATATTTACCTTCTTTCGCTTTGTATAAGGACGTTATGTCTTCTCTATCTCTGTCGCCATTAGGATCGAAAATCCAAGGTGCTTTCGTCAAGATCATCCGCCCAATGCTAATAAAAAAAATAGGTATTCATTAAAATTTTTAGTAGTTATTATTTTTTAATAACTACGTTATTATATTTTACAATATATAGTATAAAATTCTTTTTAAAAGGAAAACAGCACATAAATTACGTATAATACAGCTATAGTAGTTTTCTAATTTACATGTCGTTTTCAGATTTCTTCCAATATCTCCATAGTTTGTCGTCTCTTATGCTAATTCGATATACAATACATATGATAATATACGATAATGTTCCTCTTCACGACATCAACGTCAAATTTACCATTACGATGATCAAAATCAAATCTAGCAGTATAGGATGTTTATTTTGTAATTAACGACTCTTACGACACCGGTGATGTCGTTAACTTGTCATTTGTTGTTAATTTTCATCTTTTGCAATGTTAAGAATGCGATTTAATCGCTGGAACTTCTGTTGTTTTTCTATTTTTTAATATATTTGTTTAGATTTTACAATTTTTTTGTCTTTTTTATTCTATTCGTTTTATGCTAGAATAACGACGTTACAGCTTCAACCAAAGGTATCTTGATTTAAAAAATCAGTGTCAATTCTCTCCTACATGTCTAATACATAATTCAAAACATTCCAAACATTCTTCAAAACTCTACTCCTCTGAACATCCACACTTCCTCGAATTCATCTTTATGCATCACTAAAGAATACCTACTGATACTTATTGCAGTCGATTTTCCGGTACCCTAACTCGCTTTCGGAGTCTTCCATCCATCTCATGAGGTCAGCGTTTACGGAAGCCAGCATAAACGTCACGTCATAATTATATCCGACAACTCCTTGTTTAATTGCCTCAACGGAAGCTGGTCCACATTGATAAACACCTTCTGATGGTTCTTGTGGAGTAGAATCAATAGCCTGCCAACCACCATAGCCTGCAGGTAAGTCTGGCCTAGCCATCCAGACATCATTCCAAACGTGATAATTCCAGATGGAATCTTCGCCGTCTAAATTATTTGGATCGTAATCTAACTCCTCGTTGGCCAAGTTGTAATAACGGTCAATTGAAAGCGAGGCATTTGCATCGTGGGCTGATACCAAGTTCGACACCACTCTGGATGGTATACCGAGAGCACGACAAACAGTGGTCACGACACCAGCGAATACCCAGCATTGGCCATATTTGACGGATTCTTCGGTCTCCAAAAATTGCTCGAGGATCGGTACACTTCCGGTCCAAGCTGCTGGCGCAGTACCATCGGCATAATCGCCGTCCCAACGACCTACGACCACACCTCTGTCGTCGTTGGAGTTTATCTACAGTAGGGAATAAATTTTATATTGGACGAATTATTTGGATAATGACAAGTAAGTATATGAGTCAATTTCAATTAGTTAAAATTCATTGAGTTATATCAGTGAATTTCTTTTTAATTCATTTTTGAAATTGTTGTAATCAAAATATAATTGTTTTTAGGTACCTGAAGAATGGAACTAACAAATTATTGAATTGGAAACTTTATTAGAGAAATATTATATAATTAAAAGAATAAATTAATATAAAATGAAAAATGAAAAAATGAAAATGTCAAAATGAAAAATTGTACAGTAATAACACTAATAATATTCAATGGTAATGGTATGAAATCTAAAAGTCAAGTGTATTGAAACCAGGTAAAGAACTGAAATATGTTTATACTCTAATAAATTAACGTAAATGTAGGCTACATAAGTATGATGGATTAACTTACGATTCTTGAAATAGCTCTACACATTTGAACCGGATCTCTTCTGGAATCAGCTTTGATAGCGGATCTTTCTAGTAACAACTGGCAAGCTTTAAGTACGCAAGCATCAAATTGACCGAACACCCACTCTCTGCCACGTGAACTTCCCCATGGACCAACCCATATTTTTCCAACATCATTCAAAACGTACTCATCCAAAAGCTGCTCGTCCTCCATATATACTAGATCCTCTGAAATTTGAGATGTTAATACTTATATTAATATTTTGAAATTCAGTGTTTATAAATGTTCTTTAATAAGTACAATTTCAATTCTCCACAGAAAAATTCTTATCAATTTTTTCTTTATTACTACAATACAAAATTAAACTCCATATTTTCAAGAGTTCAATACTATTCAGTATTATATTCCACAATTAAATATGCTAGTGTAAGTTTCAGACTTCTTTTTAAACTTTTAAAATATTATATCTTTAATCTGTTCATTATTAATCATTAGCATAAAACACTTTATCATAACGTCATACCTTTCATCCACGGATTAAATAACAGATAGATATCCTTATCGTAATTGTAAGTATTCGGGTGTCTTTTGCTTCCCACGATGGTAGTCTCTACATTCAATTGCCATACACCAACAGGGCTATCAATGGGACTTCTCACTTCTACGGATAAATCTACGCCATTGAGACCTACCATACGTACACCCCATGCCTCTAAATCGGTTAGGTAACTATCTCTAAGGGTAATAGTGTTCACTCCTCTAGTTCCCCTTAAAACATTCGGATTTGGTCCAAAATTGAATAGCAATCTAACGATGTCTGTTTCAGCTATATATTCTCGATTAAATCTCAAGGCGACATTAAACGACTGGCCTCTTCTTAGGACAGCGGTCGGTGGATCAAGGTGTACCAATTCGTAATTGATGGTGTGGTGTGCCTTCGCATTTTCTTTTTCCGAGGACATTTTAATGGCTTCGATGGAGTTACTCTTAGCTGTGGAAAACATCATTAAAATGATCTATGAATGTGGTTTTGTATAGACTAGTCTATTAAATGTGAGTGTGAATTCATGAGAATTTGTAGTTAGAGAAAGAACCTTACGTTGAGATATATTTTATAATAATTCTTAAAATCATTGTACCAAATTATATTTTACAATTTACACATTTTCTCTTTCTCTAGAATTTTATTTCATCATTTCATACAACTTATCACACGTTTATTTTGTTACAAAATTTTTTGAATTATTTATGTTAACTAAATTAATTTTCATTAAATAAATATTTGAGAAATATTTAAGAAATATTTGTTTCCTAACGATAGGTATTTAATCCAATCGTAAGGTAAACTTATAAAATATTTAGTTTGAAATAAATTAATTTAATTAGTCAGCAATTTACTGATAATCCAAGTGATTCATTCAATTTTTAGTGTAACACGAGCTGCTGAAAGAGATAGTGTAGTTATTCATCGTGGAGAAAAATCTGGTATTACCACATTCTCTAGAAATACCTATGTTCTCATTCGTAGTACGTATATTGAAGATTTATATATCGCTTTCATTCATACCACAATGTGTAATACACTCATGAGTGTAAGTTTGCAGGAACTATTCTTCACGAGAAATCCCACGAGATCTTACCCATTAATAATCGGAATGTAACAGAAAAATGACAACGATGACAATGAGCTTTACGTGGAAAAAAAATTTCTCTGGTACAGCGACATAGGTTTCCTGTTTAAAAGAAATGTCACCATAAACGATCAATGATTGCTTCTCAAGAATTTTCACCTTGTATAGAGATCTACGTTCGTATCGAATTCTTGCTGTAATGGTTGCAAGAGTCTTAATTCTAAGAAGTTTTGAAGTAATACCTATTGAAACAATTATCATATAAATATTATATAATTATCTTGAATACGAGAAAAGCGATATTTGGTGGAACGAGTGATGATCCAATGTAATCGAAATACGTAACTGTTCGAAGGTGTTTAAATTACATTTGCAGCGTTCTCGATACAAAAATAACTCTTGCAGATGTTTCAAAGCACAATCTAAACTTGAAATATTTTCACTGACAATAAGTTTGTTAAACTTCCTGAATTATTACGTTTTAAGTTCTAACTAATATTTTAAAGTAACTAGTTAAAGTAACTGTGTTTTAGAAGACATATCTCTAAATCTTTCAGCTCCTACGATATTTGAATAATTTATGAATTTTAATTATAGTTTATTAATAAGGTTGTGAAGTATTATATAACATTTATTAATTATTCAACGTAATAAAAGATAAATTTTACATAATCTTGTATGAAAAGATTTTTGCAGGTTCAGTTTCGAGAGTGACTACAGGAAAATTTCCAAGAACGCATGGCAATGACGAAAGTATAATGGTGACAAGGCCTCACGCATGGCGATGAAATTGTACCCAAATACCAGGCGCATTTTCAACTGTAAGGTGTCCCGGAATTTACCTTTGATTCATCCAATTGTTGCATAAATATCCGGGATCGAACTCAGAGCGTGAGCCGCCTCACGAACGGGCTGTTTCATTCCTGGATGGAATCAGTAACTCTCGATAGTGATTCACTTTTCAGTGTAATTTCACGTTTTCAAGAGCATTAAAAATATATACGATAATCTTCTTTCATGTTATAAAGACTTCACGAAATATCTCAGTGATAGAATATAATCTTTATATGGTTAATATTTTTAGATGTAATTTTAAAGTATATATTATATGAGGAACGTAATTAATATATATAGAAAGTAATCTTTGCATAGATAACATTTTGAGTAAGAAATTTGAAATATATATCATATTAGGAATGTAATTGCAAATAATTTTTAAAATCTTTTAAAGATTTTCATTCTTTGGTAAATGCATGTATTTACAGTAATGTTTATCAATATTTGCTAAATATTGATTAGAATTATTTATATACTTTAGTTTTTCCGTGCATTCGATTTATCGAACGTGCATTCGATTAATTGAGTAGAATAATCTTGGGCGGTAAACAAATAATTTCGATATATCTCGTTGTTAATAAGTGTTAAAATTTATATGTGATAAGTATTAAGATAAGTATAAAATTTAATGTTATTTCCGTTCCCTCCGTCAACTAAATTCATTAATTATAACAAAATTGCAAAAATAAAAAAAAAGAAATAATGCACTTACAAATTCAATTAAAAAATTGAAGAAGTTATTTGAATTCCAGACACGAAAACCCGTTGGACCACTATTAACAATTGTATACACCGTACTGACACTCACAGAGTGTTACTGTGCTTTTATACGAAGCAATTTCCTTCAAACTGACCACAGTCCCCACTACTGTACGCGCGAGTAGCACGTGTAGCAGCTTTCAATTTACCGGATTCAATATGACAGAACTGTCAGACGATTCTTCTATTTATTAATAGGTTAGATATTAATTATTTTAAATAATCTTTTTTTAAGGGTAACAACTATACGTTAACTCAAAATTTCTTAATGCAATACCATTTTTAAATACAATTTCTTAAATATACCAAAGTGTGGAAGATACGTTACAGAATTATAATGTACATTGTTGTTCTGTATGTAATTTTGTACAAAATAATTCTGTGAGATAATATAATTTTCTGTTAAGTCTTTCAATTATTATTATATTTTATGTTAGAAACATTAACCGACTATAGTTGGTTTATTGCAAAATTTATTGATAGGCTTGAAAACAGTAAATATTTAAACAATGTTTATATAAAGAAAAGAAAGAAATGTTCGCAGTAAATCTTGACTTTTCAGATATTGATGTAAAGGAAACATTATAGAAATATTATCTAAACATTATCTTATCGCTTTGGCATACTTATTGTAGCTAATTAGCCTGTACATAGATGTAAGTGGATGTTGCGGTTTTCCATTAGATTAATACCGTTAAATTGAGATGAAGGTAATGAAAATACAAAGAAAATTAATTTTTTAATTTTCCATAAATTTATTTGCGTTCCGTTTCATCGGACTACACAAATTACGTTGTAAATTATTGGTCTGTCTGTGAATTTCGAATTTCATTGTCTCCCCTTTATCTTCTTCCCTTTCGTTCCTAACCTTCAATTTTTCTTTTACATTCATCGCGCGCTAAAGTTTGTTAGCAGGAACCGGCGCGCGTTTTCAAATGCATTCTAGAGGTGTCTATGTCGGGTGTAACAAATTTGCTTTCTTCTCACTTACACAGAGGATACAATTCGATAACAAAGCTGTACGTTTTCAAAATCTGATCGACGTGATTGAGCAGAAAAACATTATGATCATTTGGATATTGTATTCGATGAATGTATTTGTTCACTGGTAGGTCCAAGATGTACTGAGGAATGTAATCAGTGCTAATTTACATATATTTTGACGAACAATCATAGAATAGTGAATAGTTTAAACAAAATTAAAAATTTTTTTGCAGAGCAATGAGGTCCACACTTTATTCGTGATTAAAAGAAACTTTTCTCATTGTGGCTCCATTTGTAACAACAAAATATTAATAGAATGCGTTCAACGAAAATTTTTGAGTTTAAATACAGACAACCAGAAAAGGTAATTTGAAGAATGTATAAAAATAAAAATATCTAAACAATCAAATAATAAGGAAACATAAATTATTCTATTACTATAATTTTATAATATACATTGTATTAACATATAAGAAAATAATATCACTTTTATTTGTGGACAGCATTGCTGTAAAAAATTGTGCTATTCAACATAAGGATACAATTATATACAGATAAAGTTGACAAAGTAAAATAGTACAATATTTACATCATAAGTTAATAACTTGAAATAATTATAACATCATTGTAATATTTAACAGCATTCTGAATACTTAACACCAAGTTTACAGGAAAATGGAAATACACAAATTGTTGTGTGAAATTTATAATAAATTAATACGAGATTAAACAACATCTTGTAACAAGTAGATGGACTATAGTATTTGCTTAAACTTAATGTCATAAAAAAAGAAAAAAATATAATAGCAATAACTAAAATTGCTAAAATTTAATAATATTCTAATTCCATTCACAATGAAGTTTATTATATAAAATTAAAAAAAAAATCAAAAGAATCTTACATTTTCCCAAATAAATAATTGTTGTTTCATTTCAAGAACTAAATATTTAGAAAAAAAAAAGCAAATAGAATCGTTCCATTAAGTTTAGAATCATTCAATACTGATCAATACCGATTCCAATAGTTCGATCGAACTTGATGACATCAGATTCCAAAAAGTACAGCTATTTAAAGGTACAGCAAATTCAATCGACGTCACCACGATAGCTCGCACGCGTTTAACAAGTACAAATCAAGAGCTGCTATATACGGATACATATTCTAGGAATAATGGGTCGTACGTTGAGCATCCGTCTAAAAGTATCTAGAAACGTTACAATTAAGGCGAACGATATTTGTACGAGAACGGAAACAGAGAAAGCATCGTTCCCTTTACGGACTCGTTTCCGCTTAAAATTCAGCGGAGTTAGATCAACTGGATAATTATCACCAACTAGTCATACAGAAAAATATTTTTCCCAGTTTAATTGCTCATTAGATTTCTCTGAATTATTTAATTATACAATTTTTTATGACTTTAGAATAACATAGATAATTTTTTGTGAAACAATTTTTTATATTCTTTGTGAAAAATACAATAATTTCGAACTTTGGCACAAATTTTGTTAGCTAATTTTGTTCTCTTTTTCTTCTAATTTTTGCATTTCACATGGTGAATATCATCCAGTTTTCACTATTTTTGTATTATTTAATTTTAACATGTTCAATCTATCAGAAAGAAATAAAACAAGATTCGATGTAAATTACCTAACGAACGAATTCCAATATTTTTGTTTCATATACACGTATGCTCTTGCATTTCATCCTATTTTAGAATGCAGCCGATTTTCTTCCAGTATGGCACACGCCAGGCACAATTATATCTCCTTCCCCCCTCGAGTGACCCACGCACTAAAAAGGCATATGTAATACGTAACTATAAATTCGAGGAAATCGAATCAACATAAAAGTAGAGTATACAAAAAGATTCGAAATATAAGTCAGTAGTTACAAACTCATAAGGTTTATAAAATAAATTAAATAGTCCACTAAATTGCCACCAGATAAATATATCCCCCATATTTTTATACCTTTTCACTTCTTTTATAATTTAGAATACACGTTTCGCGAACGTAACAACAATAAAAAGGCATACAGTAGCAAAAGCGTTGTGTATTAAAATCGTTAAAAATTAACACCCTCAATCTTAAATACAATCACAATGATTTAATCATAATAAACGATAATCGTATCGAAAAACAATGGTTCAAGTGAATTTCACTTCGACATACGTACATTTTTTCGTTTTTATAGATATTAGCTAAATAATGTAACAGCACTTCTCTTTAGATCCCACGCGATCTCGCGTAATAACGACCGCGTTTATACCATTTTTGGTCCGATCGTAATAACCAGTCTCTCGTTAATTTATTTATTTACTTTTTGTCAATGGGGCAGACACGGCGAATCTGTTAAACGCGGTCGTGTTTTAACAAAATGCGATTCTCGATCCTACTATCACAGTCAAGTCTCCCGTTTCTCGTATCCCATATTTTAACCGTAACTATAATAACGCTTTGTCCGAACGTTTCTTCACATTTCACACATATATAGAAGAACATATGTGCAACGGTATCGAAATATGTTCACAAGTGAATGGAATATTTCGCGAGCACTTTCGCATATCGAGAATCGTCTCGAAAGAGTCGAGTAGAAAGAATGAAAACAAGAAAAAACCGAGAAACAAAGTAAACTACCCTTTCGTTACCATTCCGAACGAATTATGAAACAATTTTTTTTTCCGTAGGAACACCAGTGTGCGCGGGAAATGCAACGGTATATTTTTTTCATTTTAATCTTTTCTTGTCTAAAAGGCGCGGTATTCGATGTTCGACGACAAAATAGCGTGTATTCCAAACGATCGGAATACCGCACAAGCTCGTCTATTAAGAAAATTTTCGTTCTCGATTTCTTGATCATCGTGATACAATACAGAATGTTTGTTTTCAGTACGACATAAACGTATGACCACCTTGTTAATTCTATAATGCAATTCTTTGCCAGCTGTATCAATTGAAAAGATAGTGCCCCAACTAGCTCAGATACATAATAATCAACAAGTAATCGCGAAATATGCATTATTCTATATATATATATATAGATATATATAAAGCTATATATATATACATAGCTTCTTTATAATATTTATATTTATATATATATTCTTTCCACTTTGTTCATTATACTCTTGTTGTATGTGGGGCATTTATTATAATACGTGACTAGTTCAAAAACGAAAATCCCTTCGCTCGCTTTGCGCGCTCGATTTCTTTTTTCCTTTATGTTTATCAATTCAGTTTACATCATATTATACATCGTACAATTGCTTGCACACATTCTTGTGCATATAAATAATATGATTTATATGTGTACCATATATACGGCGTTCATTTTTTTTTCCTTTTTTCATTTTTTTTTTTTTTACATTTATTTCGTCTGTGTACTGCTTTGAAGCATCTTAATTAAATTCTGAAAGCGTGACTGAAAATCAAAAATCGAGTTACGCATGCTCTTCGGTCTAGGCGTGCAGGATCGTTGCGATCTCTGCTCGAAATTTTTCTGTTCGTTATTTTCTTCTCTTTTTGTATCTTTTGTCGTTTTAATTTGAACAGCCTATTCTTTTAGAACCTCTTCAGATAGATCTAGGTAAACTAACGATAATAATTGCCTATTCAAAATCGTCGAAGCGACACCATCAATCAGTCGCCCGAATCGCTATTTTCGCACGCCGAATATAATCGACGCCGACCACGAAGACAACGACGTATTAATACGAGACGCTTCATACGCTAGCGAGGCGAGGGGGACTCGTATTATTTGGTTGCATTAAATTATTTAGCCTCATCGAGGGCTAACTCGGAGCATCTTCCGGCTCCCCCACGCCACCGGATACGCTCGGCTCCGTTACGTCGCTTTGGCTCATCGACACGAACTGCTGTGATAACGTCTGTAGACTTTGTCGCACCTAAAACAATGAACCTTCTATTATAACCCTCTACTTTAACTTAATAAGTACTTAAATATACGTAAATAAATACAGAAGTGATATAACTATTTCATATTTAGTATATAGAAGTTGAATATCATAAAAATATCTAGTTAATAATATAACTAGTATTCAGTAACTAACAGTTACATTCCATAGAATTAGAATCTTATATATACAATCAGAGTTCAAAGGTTACTTTGTTGATTAAGGGTAGTTATCATCTTTCATCAATAATTTTTGAACATCGTTAATATCTTGAGTATGAATTTTATTTAGTTAATATGGATAGCCAATAATGAAATCCAAGTAAAAGCCGTAGTTTTTAAGTGAAAAATAACAATATTTTTAATATTTTTAATTATTAACTTATAATTAATTGTGTCTGTTGTAGGTTCTTATACACTGAAGGAGATCGTACTTTGACTATTTGATCGAGGTTCGTATTAAGGTAATGCAGAAGCCGATCTTGAGTGAAACGTTCCGGTGAAACAAGAGGGTGGTTTAGATACGCCGTGTGTAGTCTGTCGATGCGAATCATCATCAGAGCCGCCGACAAATAGAGAGCTGCCAGAAGAGCTACCAGAATGGTGATCACTGTACTAGTCTTCATTCCACCCGTGAACAAGGATAAGATAACTTTGAACTTGTTGGACGTGGTTGAGTGCAACGGAACTGGTGGTGGTTCCACCCTAAAAAAGATAAAAAACAATTAGCAGGTCAGCATTAAATAACTCTAATATCTAATAATTCTATTTAAATGGAAATTTTTCTAAGATAGAATTGTTTTAGTATGATTCAGATGGCGCCTCGTGTCCAAAGTTTACCGATACCAATTTTCTCATAGATCATAATAAATTAATGAAAGATCTCTGAAATAAATCTTCAGAACAAGATTAAATCATATGTTTTGGTACGTATAAAATTTATTCTAGAGTGACTTTATAAAATTTGCAATTGTAAAAACAAGCAAAAAATATAAATTTTTATATACAATATACGATATACAAAACAGTGTGAAACTCTTATTAATATCAATCTTCTCATTTTCTTTCAGAATTAAAAAGTCTCTTCAAACAAATAAACGGTAGAAGAAGACAGGACGAAGGCCATGTGCTACCAGGATTGAACCATATCTCTTATTCAGGAATGATGTTCCAAGAAAAGAATATTTATTTACTTTGCAGGTGGTGGCAAACTCGGCCTGACAATTGGCAGTGTAACACCATCGGTGTCGTTGCAAACTGTCGGCGGTCTGGAATTCAAGTCCGTCCCGCTTTCAGACATGCTGGAGTCATCTTCTTCGGGATTCACTTCGGAGTCATCGACCACCAGCGTGTCCGGTGCAAGAAGATTTTGCTCGTTGGTCAGCGGTAGAATCGTCGGCGACGGTTGTGACTCTATCGCTGCATCCCAAACCTGTTTCATCAGCTTGAATGTCGAGTCTCTAGATAGGAGGGAACAGAAGACATGCCTTTCGTCTAGGGTGGCGATTGCCACCGCATTTGGAATGATTCGAGCTGTCTTCTCTTTGCTAATTTTCAACACGGAGACTGTAGGTATCAGCAGCTTCGTTACGTAACCAAACACATTGCTGTAGAACGCAAAGTAATTCGGTGTGATGTACAGGTGTCCTTGCAGCAGGATGTCGCCTACCAGCGCGCAGCTATAGTAGTTCAATACTCGTTCGTCCGCAGCGACCTGATGAAGTATTCCAAAATTAGATACCCTGTTTCTGATAAATGCGTGGTATGGCACGCGAGGAATTTAAGAACGAATTACAGACTTCGATCAGATTTTATACATAGAGTGAGTCACGAAAATCGTTATGTCAGAGTATAGTAGAAACTTTAACGTATTCGACATAATCTGCTTATTATCATTAATGTCATTTAGGAATTTAAATTTTAAATAATCAGAAGTTTTATACTTTCCTATAGGTTACGTGGAAATATTGTATACTCTATTTGCTTTTTAAATCATCTAAACATCTTCCACTATAATTGCGGTTTATGGAAAGGAGTAAACTTTAAACAGTTAATCTCAATCTCGTAAAATACGTGAGTAATAATAAAAAATGAATTGCCGTCTACAGTGCCGATTTAGAAGATCATCATAAGCTAAGAAGTAATCAAGCAAACCTGCAATCAGCTCTGTATTTACCATATTTATACACAATTAATAAGATAAACCTTATTTCTTGAATGTAGGTACTTATAGAAAATTAACTCACAGTCGATACCACGATAAGACTTTAGTTACGAATAGTGAAGATTATACTTATCGATTCACAAGAAAAAATAAAGAAGCTCAAGTTAATTAACATTGAAGAGGTACGTTTTCACTGGTAAATATCGGAACAACGTTTTAAATTTCGTTATACAGCAGTGAATTTCGTTCTAATTCACAAAAGTAACAGCGTGAAAGTGAGATATTGAAACAAACTAGTGAAACTCTCGTAAATAACCTGAGAGAAATGCCTGTGGAATTTCTTCTGCCTCGCGCTGCTGGTAGTTGTTGGTGACGATGTGGACGAAGATCTGCTAACCTTTCCTGGAGTCTGCACGGTACTACCAGCTGCCATTGATGGTGTACTTCTGCTGAGCGGTTTAGAAAGATGGCTGAAAGGAAAAAGCAGGAAAATTACTATTGATATAGTAATAAAGAATATTAACGATACATTCATATGGATTAACGGTAAATACAAATGAATTATATCGTTGTATATAATTATAAAATATCTAACGCAGGTGGTAAAGTGACAATTGTTTTCGATTTTTGTTTTCTTTTTTTGCGAAAGAGTTAAGTCTTAATTTAAAGATAAAACTGAATTTCTTACGATCTTCTAATATTGTTGGTAAAATACATATATCTCATAATATAATGAAAAAATAAACGTAGTTTTGATATATTATTCACGTCATCAATTTCTTAAGCTATCTCAATTTTCTGTCCATAAAGAAAAAAATTATGACGGATTACAATTTGTTCGGAAGCAATTACAGTAATAAGATAAAACGCTAAATAATAGCAATATAAATACAGATATGAAATAATATCAATAGAATTTTATGTTTCTAACACAAATACGTTTGCTTAATCGATAACGTATATCAATTCTGCAGAAAAAAATTGAATATTTATAAAATAACAACTTTTCATAAACACTTGTTCTTTTCCATGTACTGCACTTTACCACTCAAGTTCGTACAGTACATCCAAGCTACAGCAAGGTTGTAAATTAAACCATTGAGTAGCAGCATACGTCCATATCTTAGGGTTGCAGATCCACTTAGACCCATGCAGTTTGTATTCTATTTTAGAATTCTTCAAAGTAAAAGAAATGACTATGTGTGGCTAATGGTATTTTGTTTATAAGTAAAAGAACTACAAATATGAATTACTTCGATTAAATTTCAACAAACTGGTAAATGAGAAAGAGAAATAATTTAAAAGAGAAACATCAATTGTTACTCCGACATATTTTATAAAACACGTCGATCCTGTACCTGCTAACAATTTCTACCTACCAGTTTTCTAACCAAAATCTTTTTCCTACGTGCCCATAATTCTTACCTGACACTTGATTACTTTAGCTACCAAAGAGTTTCACGGCCTTGCTGTATCACAAAGCCCACGCTACACGCATAATCTCAAGCCATCCTGAACTCGTTAAACATACCGTAACAATCTGCCAATGTTCAAGGAGAATCTCTGATTAAGAAGAAAACGAAAAATAAGCAAAGCTTGAATCCACAGACTGAACATCAGCAACCAATCTCTTTGAACTATTAAATAAGCAAATCCTCACGATTACATTCATCTCTGTAGAATTAGTCATCGACAGCATCACGATGACCGACTACTCTTATTTTAAATCATTACACCAACAACCAACTTTCGCACCTTATTTTGCGAAGCTTGGGGCTCCAGATGTCGTTGCTCCACACGTCGTACTCCTTGATCATCTTGGAATTCGATTTGAAAAGCATGAAAGATCTGATGGATTGAAAAGATCTTAGAAAAAGGTACCAAGACTCCACAGATCGTTGTTATCGAAATGATCTCCTGCTATATCTTTTCCTTCTTTTTTCAGAAAGAGTTCCAATTTCACGTATCACGTCATACAATCGACGATTCGATGGACCGAATCGTCAGCCACCTTCTAAGGAACTGGCATAAATTCGCCGGCGCAAAACATCGTTTGCGGGAATTATTGCAGTGTTCGGATCGTTAATTGCAGCTCGCTGCCAGTCAGCTTAATATGAATTAAGGTCGAGCGACGATCGAAGACGATCGGGGATGCGATACCGGTAATTGAATCCGCTGGAGAACATAACACGTTCCTCACTGTCGTTGCTATCGATCGACGGTCCTTCAAGAACGAGATTCCTTTCTTTTATTCAATCCGATCGAAGACAAGAGGAATTTTGAAGAATAGAATTTTTGTAAGTCGATGTTAGTAGTCCAGAAGAACGTCGAAGACTTTTATCTCAGTGTTGATCGACAATCGAGCATTTCGTGCTTCCTTTTCTTCCACCTGATACAATCGAAAAGAATTCTTCTAAATCAGCGTTGGTATCAATCAATCATCGAACATTCCAGAGAAACGTGACTCTCTTTGTCTCATCCAATTTGATTAAGATCAACAGAACGTCCAAGAGGAAAATTTATCCAAATTATCACCGACCAAAACACGACCAAAGTCAACAGGAATGATGGAAAGAAGAATTACTTCGACGTCCACATCGATCAACGATTCATTAAAAGCACGATTTCTTATCGTTCCATTCAACACGATCAAGAGGAAAATTCGAAGACTACAATTTTTCTTGATTAGTATCACTGGAGACGTTGTAAATCAGCATTGAGATGATCGTAGATATTTAAATTTCCACCAGAAGCACATACGTAGCTTCGAAGATTGTTTAACTTCTTTTTCAACTTTTTCTTCGCTCTTTTTCTTTTGTCGTGATCAATTTTAAAGATGATATAAGATTTCGAAGATAGTCGTCGAGTCGCGAGACAGGAAACGGAGTAAGACTTTCAACGTTGATCACGGTCGCGGAGTATCGATCGTTTGGCAAACGTGTCGCGTATCATATAGTATTAGACTGGCGAACGTAGGATATATCGTGGTGTTATCGACTCAGAGACTTGATATTGATAATACCTGTCGGTGTATCTCGGCTTTCTTCATTACACACGACTGTCAATTAAGAAAATATCATCGGGCGAAAAAATTTACGATAAGACGCCAGACGTTCCTGGGGAATACTTTAACGCAGATATGCACTGTCTTCGTATCGATGAGGTAGAATGTAGGAGTAATAGAGTATAATCGTAACGGCAAGTGTCTCTCGTGTTTATTGAATATGAAAATTATTGGTTAATGGTAATTGATCTGCTGATAATTGATTGATGATAACGAATGCCTTTTAGCACCTGGTTATTATCATATTTATTACAGAAGTAGATAAAAGGTTTATATGGGCTGTGATAGATCAATTACTGAAAACATTGTATCGTATACATAGACATAGTTGATTGTCTGTATAGATATAGTGATATATAAATACAATTTTTAATAATAAAAAATAACGAATAAATTATGGATAGTGCAAAAGACCTGCACTTCTTCGAAACATTCGTCGCTCTTCAGTAATACCATTCGTCACTTTTGGGTATTTTTAAACGTATAATAAATATATCTGTGACAACTATGTGACTCATTCACTATATAGGACATTGTTAACTATTAAAACTCTATGAGTACTATTTGTAGAAATTAAATGTAATCTTTTAGTAGATAACTTTCAGAAGAAAATATTCGATCGAACGCCAATAATAATCAGCTTTTACAATCGACAAACACTAAGATTTTTGGATAAAATGTATATCTTGATCGTATACGTATTAGTCTTTAAAAATACCTATTTTAAGTTACGGATACTTTTGATAAGTATAATAGAGTGTAATGAAGTATAATAAATTGACAGAGATCTAGTCTATTTTTTTTCTTTTTTGCAGATAACATTGGGTGTATAAAGGCTCAGGAAAAAAGGAAAGAAATGTGACCTGTAATTGGGTACGTAAAATAATCAAAGGATCTACATAGAGAATAACTGGAACGATGACGCGTTTCAAAAGTGTTCCTCGTGTTTCGTAATGTTATTATTAAATAGATTTGAACGAAGGATTTTCAGCCATTTTAACTCTTTGTACTCGAAGCGTTTCCACAATAAGGTAAAAAGAAAATTGTATATATAAATTTATGTATACATTAATTGTTTTATTTTAATTTATTATTAAATTTTGTATTAAATTAAATCTTTGTAGAAATGGCGGTCAAAAATCGGTTCTTAAGTGCAAAAGGTCAAGTCTTATAGTACAGCAATGTCGGATGAACAGGTATTAATTATTATTTATAGACTACGACTATGCAGACTTCTAGCTTTACACATTTGAATAATAGATTTGCTATGATATGTACGGAAGTATAAGAGGAAAACTTATGTAGACTAGGTGGTCTGTCTATAGTTAGCAGATATATGTAACTGTCAGCAGAGCATTTTTTGGCGAAAGTTGAAATCAGAATCGGCATTGGAATCTACAAATTATTTAGCAAATAACTGAAGTCTGCATTAGAAATAAAAGGGTTCTTTTTTAATTACAGTATTAATTAAATTTAATATATATCGTCAATTTAAAAAAAAAAAAAAAAACTGGATAAATGCAGTTGCTTTCTAATTATTCCCATTAATACCAATATTTTCAGGCCCAATCTAAATAAAGTTGCACCTCAAGTCCTACTATGATAAGTTCTTGAAAAAATAGACAAATAAAACAATTTTTGTCTTAAATTGACGAAAATTCATATCCAAATTATACACACTTAATGAAAAGGATAGTATAAAGAAGCCTGAAAGACGAAAAATGCTTTCGATGATTTGGTCGTACGACCATACGTGTGATTTCGAGGCTGTTCGTATCTTATAAACAATTCAATTATTCGAGGTAAGATAATGTATCGAATAGTCAGTAGAACCGTTGAAATCAACACCTGGTGTGTTAGTCCAAGGGAAAATTCAAATGTATAATATTGACGTTTTAATATGTTCGAGGCCACAACACTATACATCCAACTTGTAATATCTAGTCAAAACATCTAGCCACGTTTGCATCTGGCAAAGAAATTGTCGGTCAATATTTAAAAAGTTGTCGAGGAAATAGAATTAAACGAACGTGGAATAATAAAGTGGAAAACCAGTAGTTCACAAGCAGGGTCATCGAGGTACCTAAAATGTAGCAACTTCTGGGGATCGTTTTATATATAGACATCGCCCTCGAACGTTTTAATGAGATTTTGAGGATTAATATAGATAAAAATTCTAAAACTATTGGTATAGATATAGACTCATACATCTTTCTTTTTTAACACGAGTCACTATTAAAATAATACATAAGAAATACATTTCATAGGGATGACTTAGAATTCGTATGCTATTTGTTATTTGATTTTCTTTCATCAGTAAAAATATTTCTAAAATAGAAACGCCAGTCAAGCTGCGACATAAATAAATTCTCAGGTATTTGTAATTTTTCTCTTTCTGAAACAAAAATTTCTGCTTTATGAAGCTTTTCAATGCAAAAATGTGTCGAAGTCGCTAATCCATAGAATAAAAATATTCTCACGATATGATGGGTTAAATCTAAAATAATTTTTAAATATTAATATGCTCGGTATACACGTGTTGATAATAAAATTTCGTGGGAGATAAAATGAAATGGCACTCATGGTGGTATCAGAATGTCCGGTTAGAAATTGCGCTTAAAGGCAGGTGTCAGATAGGAATATGAAATAACGTCGAAAATGATCGCGGTAATAATGACATTCATTCAAAGCGAGAAATGTTTTCTTGGAAAAGAGTAAGACGATTACAAAACCAATTCTGTTCTGCATCTTTATCAGGCAGGTGTCACGGAACGTATTTTGCTTTTCGAACGTCGTTCTTATGTGAACAGGTGTCGCGGTATCTCGCGATATGTTATCTTGCACAACTAATAATTTATTGAAATTACATGTTGAATTTGAAAGGGTCAATAAGGATAAGTATCGCTTCGTGGCAGTTTTCAACGTTTTATTTCTGAAGCGGTGCTAGACCTAATGTCAAGCGATTGCAGTCGATAGAGAGAAGAGGTCGAAGTATTACTGTAATCTTTATTATAGACTGATACACGACCATGACCACTGATGATCGATTAGAACTTATAATCAGAGAAATTCAAAAAAATGACCAGCAATTATCGTTGATCGATTTTAATAATATTTTTCTCTTTCTATTTTTACGAATAAAATGTGAATATTTATTTTTTAATTATAATTCTTGATATTTTATAATTCATTTTTTTATCGTTATTTCAATACAATTTTTTGGGGTATGTAATTTTGTTTACGTATTATAATAATTTGGAATAATAAATTTAATGTAAAAATGGACTTCAAAGGTGATGGAAAAGTATGTAATATTCTTAAGAGGTAATCTACAATCGATACGAATTAAAATTATTTGTTTATGACAATCAGGCTTGTAATTTAATCTTAATCTTGAATTTTAGAATATTCAGAATATCGAACATTTTTATTATTTCGAAATAACGATATACCAATAATTTCGTATTTTGGAAAGCTTCCAAACAAACTTAATTTTATTTTGAATGAAATGTACTACGAACATATATAGTTATTAAGGAAATTAAAGAATCATCTAAACATAATTATTGCAATATTAAAAAATTTGTAAAAAAAATCCGACTAATTTTAAATAGTAATGAATTTTGAAATTAAATAATTTATTTTATTAATTTCAATCACACGTGTCACCATCGTAATTGTACTACAAAAATTACCAAATTTTATACTCGCCATTAAGCCTCATTAACACCATAATAATATCGCATTACATAAACATAAGTACGAATTTATCACAAATGCGTTTGAACACGCTATTAGGAGGAAAAGATTAACTATGCTTGACGACTTTCGGAAACAATCTTTCACTATACTTGTCGCGTTATGCAATAGCATGTTACAAAGTACGGTTCATAAATGATCAGCCAGTATAATTGTTTTAACCCCGTTCATCAAGGTCAACCATTTACCTCCATATAGATTAGATTAGGAAAATTAGGGGAGCACGTGAGAAAAAAAGATATAAATTATTACAAAAAGAAAATTACAAATTTAAAAATAAATTCTAAATTTTCTTTTATTCTATCGTGGTAAATTACTCGTGTAATTAATTAATTTTTCTCATTGGAAATTTTTGTTTCAAATTTTAGAAGCTTTAAAAATTCGAAAAACTAGTATAGGTATATTAAAATTACAAATTCGGAAATAAATTGTAATGTTTCTTTTATTTCAATGTAATTAAATCATATGAGTTATTAATTGTTTTTTTCACTAACAATTTTTAGATTTAAAATTTTAGACACATTCTCGTTAGACATTTAAAGTTCTGAGAAAGAACTAATTATAACAATGTTGCAAAAAGTGCGAGGATTAATTGAATGGAAATACTTAATTGGTCCAATGGGTTGTTCGATGAATGAAAAATGCAGAGTCGAATTTTCATCAATTCTAGTCCCAATTAAGGTATCCAGGTTGTCGATTTTTCTTTCATCCCGATTCATGCTCTCGCACAATTGAAAGGGAATCAGGTGTCAATGAAAATATCTACACGAGTATTTAATCTGCATGTAAAATCAATCACATAACACCATTACAATTACTCATTTACACAGATACTCGAACAAATTCGCAGAATTTAATTAACCACTTAAACTGATCATGTTCTTTCCAATAATATAGAATAATCTTTATTTTTGGTTACATGTATCGTATCTTACATCTTTTTATTATATAATGTATATTTATCATCGCCACATTCCATTTCAGTTTTTACCATCTGTGTATATTATATTTAAGACATAACACAGTGCTTGTGCTGGTAGATCTACTATTAAAGAGATATTCTAGTCCAGAATTTTTTGAAAATCAACTTCTGCTTTTATTTCATTTTTCACGAATTTATTCCCGAAAATATTTTTACGGATGAATACTAACAAAAATTATTATATGTTTTCAGATGAGCACAACAATAGGAACAACAGGCACCTTCAACAGAATGGTCTACACCGAGGCCACTATATTTATCGTAATCTTCGCTATTCTTATCTCAAAAGTTCTGTACACTCGTATACAGCCAAAAAATGTACAAAAAATATTTGACATTAAACGAAATTTCATTTCAGATAAGCAGAATGGCCAGGATCATAGAAACTATACAGACACTTTCGACAGGAAGGTCTACACTGAAGCAACTGTCTCCTGCACTCTTCATAATTTTTGTCTCAAAAAAATTTTCGTTGCAAAAATATGCCATCGTTTACAAAAGAAAATTCCGAAAAATACCTTAACAAAGACTGGGGTCTAAAATAACACCTTGAAAACCAAGTTACTCATGGCTCGTGATGAAGCACAGAAGACAGGCTACATGTTACAGGTGGCATGAAAATAAGAAAGCCATTGGTGGAAGGTCGAGGACTCACCTGTCGTTACATCTCAAGGCCACGTGGCTCGGGCTCTTCGGAGGCTGAGAGTTATTGGCAGCGGCCACTGTAAGCTGGGAACCACTAATTGACTGCTGGCCCGCTTGTTGCGTAGCAGGAGCTACTTGAAGAGGCGTGCTGGGAGCAGATCGTGCTCCTATGGACCCCGCAGACCTGGAAAAATACAGATAAACCAATCAATGACTCGTTCACTAAAGAATTTTTATAAACAATCTCGCTAAAGCTGTATGAAAAAGATCAACGGTCAACTGACAGCGTATTAATTGCATATACTGTTTCTTATCTGCTTTACTGAACTTTTTCTTATTTCACATCTTTCAATATAACAGAATATCTTCTAATTTTCTTTCGATACTGACTGCGATAACGACGTAAAATTTATATTTACATCACCCTTTAGAATTATGAATACATGGAAGAAGTAACAATTATTAGCAATGTATGTGTGTTATAGGAACTAGGGGATAATTTATAGTAGTTCTTAATCAGACTATTTGTTGAGATTATAGGATTTCTTTTTTATAATAATTTTTAATTACTTCTGAGATGACACTAGATAGATCGTCGTTTATCATTTGCTTGCAGCTATATGTATATTGTATTTAGCCTGTCACTGAACTTTGTGGTGCAAGTAGTTGAGAGTTCATTGGTCATTGACAACCTTCTCGGTGATTTCGTAACAAGTTAACCTAGCGTTAACGTAAGCATAGATAATGTATTTTTGCAATAGTGTCATCTTGACCCCCCGACTAATAATCGTACAGTAAATTTTTCTTCTTTCTATCTCTTTTCATATTTCTTTGAAAAAATCATGCAGCACTTAAATAACTTTCTAAGCACAGTAAAACAACAAGGAATAATTAATATAAGAATAATAAAGAATCTTATTTACGGAGTATCGGTTCAAACATTTGGAATACAAATTTTTAAATAACTAAAAGACTGAATTAAGCAGGATATCGATAAAAGAGGTGATAAGGAAAAGTACATTTTTCAAATAAATAATAAATAATAATTCTTACATTCCGGAACTTCTGTGCACGTACCTAGCCCTGGTGATCATCGAGCCAGAGGAAAAGCAAAAATCGATCAAAGCGCGCGTTTCGAACTCCATGGTTTTGTTCTTCTTATTCTACAGTTCAGTTAGAGTGCACTTATTGCAGACTTATTTCCTATGAAACGAATTCTTCAGACTCGTAGAAATCCAGTATCGATATCGATTTTCCAGTTGCCCAAAAATCGTAATGAACTGAGATTCGCTTATCTATATGTTCAAATGATTTTTTAAAGTAACCTGAGACAACGTGCAGTTCTCTTTTCTTCGCAGAAACACTGCTACGAATCAGCAGAGAGGAAAAGAAAAATATCGAGAAACCAGTGCGATAATCATATCGTGTCTTTGAAATATTTAGTAATAAATCCTGACAAATCTAGAAGTGCTACTTGGTGATTGAAAAGCGATTGTGTGATATTGCTTAACAATTAAGATTAAGTCTTTGCTGCTCCTCCTGACTCTTACAGGCAAGAATCAAATTTAAAAAATCTGTATCAACTGGTACAACAAATTGTGAAATAGTGGAGAGAAATGTAGCTTAACCGACCAAACAAAATACCAATCAATGCACCAACCCACGATGACAGAGTGGCAGCTAAATTTAACAGAACTTTGAAGTAGGTGAGTGATCAGTCACTCTCACTTTCTACTACCACGTGCAAGTTGAAGAAGAAGCTTTACTTAATACAACGCAGCTGCAGATCAATTAACAAATCGAAAAAAGCAATAAATTTTGCAAGATTAATTTCTTCATCGATCCCAAGAAATAAATGACATTTCGAATTTATTTATTCCTGGATTTAAAAATTTGCATACAATTAATTAACTTCGAGAGAGAAAAGGAATATTAATTGTTGTAAGTAACAGTCTGCGAAATTTATTAATTTCAAGGAAAAAGAAAATTCTAATTCAAATCCTTCGAGATCAGCTAACAGGAAACGAGGTACTATCATCGACCAGCGACAATAACAAAACAATTACAGCTACACGAACGTTCCTCACAACGTAAACGATGAAGTTAAGATCACACGAAATCAATAGAATCCACGAGGGTATCGATGTTTCTTTAAAATCACTCGGAGCGAGGATCGCAATGATGATCTCAACGAACTTAGGGCCAGTCGAGCAATAAAGAATACGCTCATATCTTCGGACTGAGCGATCATTGAAGGCTTTACGACTTTTACTTTATTTTTACGATTATTTTTCCAACGAATTTCACCGGTGAGTCACCAATTAAATAGCGATTGAATCATGAGAGAATGATTGATCGATCGAGAATTCGATTGCTACGAGAAGTCAAGATTGGGCAGCTGAAGTCGAAGAAGATTCTAAGGAGTAACGAGTGTACGAGTCAGCCACGGACCAGCCGGGAAATCGGACTGACGATAGAGCTGGAAAGCAACCACCATGTAACCTCGTCACGTTCTTTTGACCTTTTTAATTGTTAATACTTTGACTTAGAATGTTGTAACCTATGCTACGTGTAAGCTATACCCTCGTGATGGACACATAGCAACGGACGTGAATCGTATTGATTGATCTCGCGACATTTATGTCATATGCATGGGAGGAACGTCAGAAGAACAATGTAACCGGAAGTAGAGGCTAAAATGGAAAGTTCTGGAACTGAACTAACAGCTGTCAAACGCTGGGTAATTGCGATGGAAGTTGTACGACGTAGATGGAATTATACAGAACACAGGTTTCCCTTTTCTGTTAGTTTCAAGTATTTGAAACTGATACGAAAGTTCTTGAAAGCTTGAAGATAGGACATTTAATATAACGATGATTTAGAAAATTTTGTAGAACTTTTGAATGTGTATTAATTTTTATTATATTAATATTATTACATCATAAACGCATCAAAACACTCGTTTTAAATTTATATACGTATGAATATGTATATATATTTTTTAAATAAATAACGGATGAAAGTTTACCGTAAGCTTTTTGAACGAAATTTAAAACGAGAGTTTTGACAAAGTTTTCAAATCGGTCGAAAATATTTCGAAGAGATCAAAAAAATATTTTGGAAGAGATTGAATTTGATTGTATTAGAACGTTTCGATGAAATTGCATGATGAACATGGTAGTATACGAACTTCTTAAATGTGAGACATTTATTTATTGCTTCGTCTGTAGTTCCAATTTCGAAAAGCTGTTTCTTCTCAGACAGAAATAGACTATTACATTGTGCCGAGCCTAAAGGTGAAGTACACGTGTATGTCTCACAATATGAAAACATTTCGCTTTCCTCCAGATACCTCAAAATATTTGTAAAGCTATTCAACTTTGCTCGTGCATATAGTAAATATATGCAAACTTTCACCTAAAAGCATTTTGAAAAACCCAACCAAACATTAAACATGATTTATAACTCTGAATCATCCTGGATATATATCTACCTGTACATCACAAAAATTTCAATCGTCATTATCAACTTATATTAATACTTATAGTATATTAATAGAATTATTTATAGTTGCCCATACATGCAAATACTTCGAACAAAAATTGACTGGCATATCTATAGATCACAAAATATTCGGAATTTCTAATTTTATCTCTCAAAGATAAATTACCACTGATTATCTATTCTTTGAAATTTTCAAACATTACACGTTCTTGTTCTATACGATTTCCAAGTTACGCACTATAAATTCTTATGCTCAGCTTCCCAGAATCAGCTATAATTTCTTAATAAATGATAAAACTGAAAATGCAGAATAAATCATGGCTCTTAAATAAAACGTTGAACTAACGTCGTTGCGTCGTACATTAATTTCCATCGGTTTTGTATAAGCAAAACATAACGTAATTTAACATATCGATTAATATTTCCATTAGTTCCAGGAGGAATTTGCCAAGAGTTATTTGGCTGTTTCATCGCGGAAGCGGAAAAGCATTTTTCTATTAGCTATTTGGTCGTTTCACAGGAAATATGTGCATGAGGCTCTGAATCGAATTGGCTGGCACGGATCCAAAAGGTCGTCCGTGCTGCGCATCAATAAGAGGTAAAACCATGTTTAAAGAGAACGTGAACTGCGCGCCACCACTGTGTCTTCCTGCGAACCTCGCGAAACCACTCCGCCTAAAAGTGTGCGATAATAAAGGTGCCATTTGGGAACTGTACTGCGGTTGTCCGCATTGTGTCCAATTTGGCACGAATATAAGTATTTACTATAAAAGTAGACGTAGTACCGATATTTAGATGGACGATGAAACGAGGAAAAATTTGGTTAGGAAGTTTAAGCTAATATAGAATCGTATTTCGCAAGACGAGTTGTGTGGAGATAAAGAGGTTAAGTGACAGACTGCAGATACAGTAACAAATGGGAAACATATTTAGGTTAGATTTCAACGAAGGTGAAGAAATCTTTGTCTCTGTAACATCTTTATAAGAGATTTATACTTCGAATGTAAATTTTAATGCACGCTTTGATATAAAATAATTATCCTTGATTTATTATTTGAAACTATTAATTTTGCTGTTTCAGGGTTAGATGTAATTTGAAATCAATACGCACGAGGTATTTTAAGATTTATTTGATTCACTTGTAGTTGATAGTTAAAATTGGTGATTGAGTTACGAGTAACTATTATTCCAATTTTCTTGTTTCATTCGTATAGGAGAAATTCATATTTTATCCTAACCTATAATTAGTCACTCGATAAGGACATTTGAGCTAATGTGTTATTAGTATTAAGCGCACCAATGGCTATATAATTATGCCTATTTCCAACTTGTGGCGATCCAATGATTATCTTATAGCACGTGGAAGTCATAGAAACACTTCCAGAAGTTTTATGCTCTAACTATGTTTTTATAATGTCAATAAAATAATCTCGAGTCGTAGTGACGTATCTAGTGCATTATTAAAACATGGCAGGTGCGCGTTATTTCGAATGTTTTTCGAAGGACATCAGCCATCGCACAAACAGTAGAGTAATAGTAGAATGACGAGTAGTTATACAGTAAGATACTCCAACTATCAGTGGTTGTTAAAAACACTCTTATCTAGACGTATAACGTAATTATAATAAATTATAAATTCACAGAAATGTTTCTTTGTACGATAAGATAAATGAATCAATT